ATTAATTAATTAATTAATTAATTAATTAATTAATTAATTAATTAAATAAATAAATAAATAAATAAATAAATAAATAAATAAATAAATAAATAAATAAATAAATAAATAAATAAAGCAGTGATGCATGACAATCCATCTAAAAAAGATCACACTCAGGCAGCCAGTCCTTGAGAAAAAGCTTGCCTGAAGAGAAAGGTCTTTACTTGCTTGCAGAAGGATAACAAAGACGGGGCCAGCCTGGCATCCTGTGGGAGGGAGTTCCAAAGTCTTGGAGCAGCAACAGAGAAGGCCCTCTCTTGTGCCCCCATCAAATGCATCTGTGAAGGTGGTGGGACCAAGAGAAAGGCCTCCACTGATGACCTTAATACCCAAGCAAGTTCATAATGGGAGACATGGTCTTTGAGGTAGTTTGGCCCAAGCTGTTTAGGACTTTATAGGTTAAAACCAGAACTTTGAATTGTTCCCAGAAATGGATTGGCAGTCAGTGGAACAGTTGTAACAGTGTGTGTTATGTGCTGAAGCTTCCTGACACTTTCAACAGGTAGCCCCACATAGAGCGCATTACAGTAATCCAGCTGGGATGTAATGAAGGCATGTATCACCATAGCCAGATCAGAACTCTCAAGAACCTGTTGCATCTGGCACACTAGTTTAATTGTGCAACTGCATTACTGTCCACTGCTGTAACCTGCAGACGTTGCACCCCTATTCACTGATCTGCATTTCAACTGACCAGAAGTACCTCTGTTTTGTCTGAGTTAAGTTTCAGTTTATTTGTCCTCATCCAGTCCAGTACTGATGCTAAACATTGATCTAGACTAGAAACAGCTTCCTCAGATTTAGATGGCAAAGAAAATCGAGTTGGGTGCCATCCGCATACTGGTGACATCAAACCCCAAAACTCTGAACAATCTCTGTCATTTAGATGTTCATTTAGATGTTCAATAACATAGGAGACAAAACATGGCCCTGGGGGACCCTGCAGGCCAGCAGCCAGAATGTTGAACAGGAATCCTCTAGGGCAGGGGTCTCAAACATGCAGCCCGGGGGCCATTTGCGGCCCCCCAGATGATAGTTTGTGGCCCTCGCCTTACCTGCCCCCCCAAAGCGCCCACACATCCTCTGCTGTCAAGAGTAAAAAAAAAAGCCTTGCCTCCCTCGCCGGCTCTCTCCCAAGACAGCACCCCTTGCACCCTCCATCCAGAATTGCAGCCTGCCAGCCAGCCCACCTGTCTGTAGGCTAAGGAAACTCCTGGGCGCCTTCCTCGAGCTCTTGCTCCGCTTGGCGGAAAATCTGATGCAGCCCAGCCTCACCCAGACTCTGCCTCTAGCGGCCCCAAGATAAATTGAGTTTAAAACCCCTGCTCTAGGGCCACCTTCTGTGTTCTCTCCAGGAAGGAATGGAGCCACCATAAAACAGTCCTATGCCAGAGAGACGAGTCAGGAGGAAATTATGGTCAACTGTATCAAAAGCTGATGAGAGGTCCCACAGAGCCAGTAGGGAACCACACTCCTCACCCAGTTCCCAGCGTTGGTCATCCACCAAGGTGACCAAAGCAATCTACATCCCAAAACCAGGCCTGAAGCCCGGATTGAAATGGATCTAGATAGTCTGTCTTATCCAGGAACCTCTGGAGCTGAGAGGTGAGGCCAAAACCTGCTCTACCACCTTGCCTGAGAATGGAATATTAGATACGGGTCAGTAATTATTCAGTATTGTGAGATCCAAGGAGGGCTTCTTTTACAATGGTCTTACTAGTGCCTCCTTTAATCTGGGAAATACTTAGACTTATACTTTAAGTAATCGTTGTTTCTTAAACCACGGCAACCCAAATTTAGATCTGTTTTGGTAAACAACCTAAAGCTATTATCAGTACATGTATATTTCAATATATATGATGCCAGTCTGCAAGTTAGGTTTACTATTGCACAGCTTTGCCTCTGCTGGTGATGGCAATAAATGCCTTGTTATTTTGCCTAAGCAAGGTTATTTGCCTGGCATGCACATTGGATATACCATCCTTATGGAGCTTTTTTTATAAATATGTTCAACTTATTTGAAGAGGACCTACTTGCATGAACTTATGTTCATTTCATTTCTGGTGTTAAAATATTTGAAGTAGCTCAAATCAAGAATTCATTCCCTGCATTATTAACCTATTAGGAATTAACAGCAAAATTAGAAATTAACTCAGAAGAACACTTCACACAAATGTATGGTGATAAGTGCATAATCAGGCAGTGACTTTTGCAAGAACAGATGAGCCATCTCTCAGGTCTAACAACAAAAGTAGAATTTCATAGCACTTAACACCCCATCAAACCCTTTGCTTCATAGAGGACATACTTCATATGTTCATACAGTCACCTGAGACCCTGTTTCCCCAAAAATAAGACCTAACCTGAAAATAAGCCCTAGTATGATTTTTTCAGGATGCTCGTAATATAAGCCCTACCCCAAAGATAAGCCCAAGTTAAGTGAAACGCCGTCCTCCACCATTGTGCAGCAACCAGAAGAAGATGACACGAAAATCCTCCAAGGTAGGCTTCAGCAATATGTGGACCAAGAACTCCCAGAAGTACAAGCTGGATTTCGAAGGGGCAAAGGAACTCGTGACCAAATTGCTAACATGCACTGGAATATGGAGAAAGCCAGAGAATTCCAGAAAAACATCTACTTCTGTTTCATTGACTATGCAAAAGCCTTTGACTGTGTGGACCACAGCAAACTATGGCAAGTCCTTAAAGAAATGGGAGTGCCTGACCACCTTATCTATCTCCTGAGAAACCTATATGTGGGACAGGAAGCAACAGTTCTGATATGGAACAAGTGATTCGTTCAAAATTGGGAAAGGAGTACGACAAGGCTGTATATTGTCTCCCTATTTATTTAACTTATATGTAGAAAACATCATCCGAAGAGCCAGACTGGATGAATCCCAAACTGGAATTAAGATTGCCAGAAGAAATATCAACAACCTCCGATATGCAAACGATACCACTCTGATGGCAGAAAATGAGGAACCTTGTAATGAGGGTAAAAGAGAAGTGTGCCAAAAATGGTCTGAAGCTCAACATCAAAAAAACTAAGATCATTGCCATCATCTCCTGGCAAATAGAAGGAGAAGATATGGAGGCAGTGACAGATTTTACTTTCTTGGGCTCCATGATCACTGCAGATGGAGACAGCAACCACAAAATTAAAAGACGCCTGCTTCTTGGGAGGAAAGTGATGACAAACCTAGACAGCATCTTAAAAAGCAGAGACATCACCTTGTCAACAAAAGTACGCATAGTCAAAGCTATGGTTTTCCCAGTAGTCATCCGAAGAACTGATGCTTTTGAATTGTGGTGCTGGAGGAGACTCTTGAGAGTCCCCTGGACTGCAAGAAGAACAAACCTATTCATTTTGAAGGAAATCAACCCTGAGTGCTCACTGGAAGAACGGATCTTGAAGATGAGGCTCCAATACTTTGGCCATCTCATGAAAAGAGAAGACTCCCTGGAAAAGTCCTTGATGTTAGGAAAGTGTGAAGGAAAGAGGAGAAGGAGACAACAGAGGATGAGATGGTTGGACAGTGCCACTGAAACTACCAACAGGAATTTGACCCGACTCCAGGAGGCAGTGGAAGACAGGAGGGCTTGGCGTGCTCTGGTCCATGGGGTCACGAACAGTCAGACACGACTAAATGACTGAACAACAAAACAAAGATCGTTGTACATGAAAAAAATAAAACACGCCCTGAAAATAAGCCTAATGCATTTTTTAGCAGAAATTTATAGAAAACCCTGTCTTGTATTTGGGGTAACACAGTAATAACTAATGAACACACATGTATGAACCAGCCCAGTGCAATCTAAACACATTATATGTACTTGAATTCTCTGCATTTGTATGCAGAACTAAAATGATTTGGAGCAAAAAACATTTTGTTCTTACTGCTGATTTTGACCTTGACTTACCTCTGCATTCATATTTGAGGTCAGAGAAGTATACCATCTCTTGTGAAAAGACAAAAAGACCTAATCGCCCACCAGCATAGGTCTTATCATAGATTGGTCCAGAATCAGCCATGACCTGCTTCCCTTCATAGACTAAAACCCTGTGAAGAAAAAATGTCATGTACATTAGATGCAGTGACAATTTATTTACTTTCTGTCTTAAGAAATGTCCCTTTAAGTTGGACAAGAGAATGTCAAATTCCTACACAAGCTTCTAAAGCACAAGAATGGAAACATGTGACCTTACAGGTGTTAATGGACTGCTACTTCTGTCATCCCTCATTGCTGGCCCTAGTTAGCTGGGTAATGGAGTATAGCAACATCTGGAGAGTAGCAGCTTCCACAAGATTATTTTAACATGTGGCATGACACTGTGATCAGTACCCACACCAATATATGCTGTTGACCAATCAGTATATTTAGACACTATTGACGAATAGATGCAAGCTCTCAAGTTCTCCATAACTCTTCATCAGGTTAGGCAATAAAATAAATTAACAGAAAAGTCAAAATAATTAGATCAGATGTTGTGGCTGTGAGGTCTGCAGCTAAACTCTGTTTCCAGATGGAAATGGCAGACTGAATGAATTACTGGTAGATGTTCAAGTTTCAGGTTACACCTAGTCCTACATATTGGGATGAAAAAGCAACGGCTGGCCTCCATTTCAGAAGACAAAGGCTGGCTGGAAGTTGGTGATCTGGCAGTTGATTTAGGTGAAACACAATTTTCCGAGTTGGCACAAAGCAGAAGTACAGAGTAGCACAGCAGTCTTTATGTCAACAAAGCTGGAGGTTAAATTAGACGGTGAACTAAAAAAAGGTAAAAAAAATGTCAGTTAAAGCCAAATTGTGAGCATTTTCTAGTAGTTGGAGAGGATGGAGTCTGCCATCTCCATTTAGATACTAACTGTAGCAACAGACCTCAAGGCCTTAAAATCTTCTTCAGTTGTCAGAATCTTCTGTTTCTCCCTCCTGATTTTTGATAGCACCTGGTCTGATGACGAGTCTAGGAAACTGAAACACTTTCATGCTTCTGTTGCATTTTAGTTAGCCCTAATAAAACTATTGCTGTGAATTGTTTCCACTCACAAACCAGCATGGTTACCTTTGCTCTGCTTTTGATTTCTACTGGCAAAAAAGGGTCTTTCCTCTGATTTAGACCAGCCAAGTCTGGCAGAGTAACCTATCTTGAAGTAACATACCTAATGCTATATATCATCTTTCTTTTATAGTCAAGCAAATGCTGACTTAAAGGCAAGTGTGATGCTTATATACCACCCCATAGTGCTTAAAGCACTATCTGGGAAGTTTGCAAGTTCATTATGCAGGCTATACATTGCCCCTCCCCCACGAGCTGTGTACTCATTTTATCGACCTCAAAACCCCCCCCCACGAGCTGTGTACTCATTTTATCAACCTCAAAGGGATAGAAGGCTGACTCAACCTTAAGCTGGCTATCTGGGATTGAACCCCAGGTCGTGAGCACAGTTTTGACTGCAGTACAGCAGTTTAAACACTGCAACACAAGGCTCCTGAGTTTTTAACATATCATTTAATTCCAACTTGTCCCATTTAGTCCCAACAAATAATGTATTTAAATATAGCTTATCTTGTCTTTTTCACTAGAATGTACAGCAGACTGAGGGAAAGTAACACATAAGTTAGAGAAGCAATTAGCTTTAGATTACATTACATATTGTGTGATTTCTGACAGATATTACAAGGTACTTCAGCTGTATTATGTATTAGCTTGTTTTAAATAGGTTTTTCCCCCAACCTCAGACAGTTAAACACTTGCTTTTGCAATTTTAAAAATTCTTCATACATTTTAATTAGGATTTGTCTTCCCCTACTCCTTTCTAATATTAAGTGGCTAAACAGAAGCTTGGGGAAGTGTGACCATCAAAGCTGATCTGATCTGGGGGAGAGGGGTTTATTAATAGCATAAATCATTCCTGCTAGAGTGAGTGCAAAATGGTTTATTTATAAATATTTGTTACATTTCAGTCCCACCCATCTAGTGGTGAGCTACCCATTTGTGGTTTAGCACAACAGACCAGAGAACATTTGTCAAGTTAAAGTTGTACTGAAAGTTGGCCATTTCACCAGAGGCTTATCCCAGCTACAACACTGATAAGGTGAAGCTGAATTCAGTAGTGCCTCACATAGCGACGTTAATCCATGCAGCAAAAACGCTGCTAAGTGATGTCATCGCTATGCGATTTTAAAAAGCCCATAGAAACGCATCAAAACCTGTTTAATGCGTTCCTATGGGCAAAAAACTGACCTAAAAGCGAAGATCCTCTATACGGCGGCCATTTTCGCATGAAGATCCTTCATACGGTGGCCATTTTCGCAGCCTCTTAAACAAGGAATCCGTGTGAAAACACAGCGGGCAGCCATTTTCTTTACCCGGCAGCCATTTTGGAACCGCCGATCAGCTGTTAAAAAATCATCGCTTTGCAATGATCGGTAAGCGAAAAAGGGAACTGATCATCCAAAAGTGAAAACAAACATTTAAAACATCGCAATGCGATCGCTTTTGCAATCGCAAAAAGTTAATTGCTATGCGGTTTCGTCGCTAAACGGAGCACCCGTCAAGCGAGGCACCACTGTACATGTCAATTGCTGAAAGAGGATGGATGTGGAATTTAGAATCATGAAATTATAGAACTGTGGAGCTGGAAGGGACCCCCAATTCACCCCGAGCCAAAAGAGGAAATCCACAATGAAGGGATTCCTGATTTACTGCTAATGAAAAAAATGTATTCCAGGAGAGGATAAATTAACTATCGGAGGATCAGGGTGGGTAATGACTTTCAGAGAGGGAACAAATGACTTGTGCTGATCTTTGATCTGGATAGTATTTAAGATTTGGTACATGGTTGTGTGTGTGGGGGGGGATATATATATAGGAGTGTGAAAACAAGTGAGAAAGAATGAATATGGGGTACTCTGTTTCCATCCGGCACTGGCATGTGGCCTCCACTAGTTCTTCTCTAGGAAATGCACTATATTGGCCTACTCTTGGTGTACGCAATAAATCTGTATGTTTCAGTGATCGTGGAGTAAAGAATGATTTTACATATTGGCCAGAGTCCTGTTACTTATGCCAGCTGATATAACTCCAACAGCATAAATTTCAGTGGCAATTTTTTTTAAAAAAAGTCTAACAATGGAATTGTTGAAATGAGGTATTGAAGGAAATTAAACACATTTGATGGGACAGACCCCAATGAAAAGGCAAACTATTCAGAATTCTTTCAACTCATCCAACAATAAGGGCAATAAAGTCTGCCATGAATGAAGTGACAGGAGTGGAATTTGCTTACAAATCCTTAAATAAAACCTCATTTATTATTAAATGGAAAAGCAAACCATATGTATAAAAAACTTCTTACTTTATTAATCCTGTCTTAGGCCTGTGGATCAAATGCCACCTGTAGGCAGTGTAATCTTTCCACCCAATGTTCTTGGGATCATGCCATAAGGTGCGTACCTGTGGAGGAAGCATAAGCAAACTCAACATCCAAATGTGGGGAAACAATCCTCACAAATGATTTGCTACAACCAGGAGACTGAAAGCAGGAAAGTTTATATTGTTGGCATTAAGAAACAAGAAGCAATTCAAAATGTACCTCTATGTCTCCATAATTAAATCAGGTAAATACAAAATGGTCACTCTTCTGTCTGTTACTTACCAATTCTTTATTTATTGCATTCTGTATATTACTTTGCAAAGGCTGTTGCAGTTGGTAACTAATCAGGCAGAAATGGGAAAGGTCACTTTTTTGACTCATAAAATAGCCAAAGTAATAGATGCCAAGCATGAACTGCTTGGAATTGAATTTTTGCCATGAACCAAATGCCATAAAGCTACATTTAAAAAAAAAAAAAAGTCACTTATTGCTGTGAACTGCCAAGAGTGACCATTGGTCAGATGAGGAACTGCTTGGAATTGAATTTTTGCCATGACCAAATGCCATGAAGCTACATTTTTTTTAGAAAAAGGTCACTTATATTGCTGTGAACTGCCAAGAGTGACCATTGGTCAGATGAGTGGTGTGGGGAATGAATGAATGAATGAATGAATGAATGAATGAATGAATGAATGAATCAGTCAATCAATCAATCAGTCAATCAAACAGCAGTAGTACAAAATTTTATAAAAACTTTAAAAGGCCACCATAAATTTATCAATCAATCAATCAATCAATCAAACAGCAGTAGTACTGTTTTAAGTTGTCTTCAATTGACATGTAAATGAATTTTAAGTAATTAAATTCCATACAGGTAAATAAACCTTTCAATGAACTGCATTCTACAACCTACAACAAAGTACAGTTTTGGACTCTCTCTGTGTGTGTATGTGTGTGCATGTAAAAATGTTCCTGCTTCTGATGTCTTCCATGAATTGTGGAATTCACATCCCTGTATGTTGGAACCCTCACCTATTCTACCCAGCAACAACAAGAATAAAGAAATTGGCTGGAAGAAATCAGAAAGGAGAACCAATCCAGAGGAGCCAGGAGGTGCTATAAGAAGAAGAGCTGAAAAGGACAGGGAAGAGAAGTTAGACTGTATCTAAGGTTAGAAGTTTGGGTTTTCCAGTGAGTTGTAGAATATAATTATTTTGTATCAGGGAGATCTAGTTCTGGCATGAGAAAGTAGACATTAATAATATCTGTAACTTCAAGCTTAAGAATGTGCCTTTTAACCATTGTGCTATTTAAATAAAGAACTTATTTTTATGTTTCAATTCAAAAACCGCTTGGCTCTTATGATTTGTGCTTAAGGCAAACCTAAGGAATGGAAAGTGCAGTTTAAAGGTGATCAGCCAGATTTAGCCAGTCACACCATCAAAACCAGAATTCAAAACCAGATTATCTGTGTGGGCACTTCAGATATTTTCCTCTCATGGGGGGGCGCTAATGTGTCCGGTGGCAATTGCTTTTTCAGCCCCCAGGTTCATCAAAGTTGCTCACCCCAGCCATAAACAGAATACTCCAATTCCAGTAGCCCTTTCCCTGCCTAGAATGGGGCATCTGAAAATGTAACAGATTGACACATTTATTTAGCCAGAATTAGTAAGTTTTATCATGTTGCTACACTGGCTGGAGGATCCTGGGAGTTTCAGGACCAAAAAGTTACTTTTCTAAGTTCTATACTTTGGAACATGTATTCTTCCATATGTCCAGGACCAAAGCTACGTATAAGGGCTTTATTCATCACAGAACTATAACTTCTCAATGGTAGTCAGTTGAAGATGAAGGGGGGAAAGTAGATCTCAAGCTAAGCTACAACCCCATCAAGATTCAAGTTGACATACAGTTGTATTGGCCAGAAGTAATGGATTCAAGTTTCAGAAACAGAGATTCTGTTGTTTAGAGATTTGGGTCTGACCAAAGGTTTTACTTCGTTTTGTTTATGTAGTGCTCAACCATTTGCCTTTGGGAAGCCCACAGAGAGAACACAAGTGCAACCTCATTCTCCCACTTGTGTTTTTCTGTAACTGGTATTCAAAGATCCATGATATCAAATATCAACAACCCAAGAAGACTTCAGAATGAGGAGACAATAACAACACACACACATATGAGACATATTCGCACACACACATTATATATAGTTAGAGATAGAGACAGAGACAGAGACAGAGATAGATATATGTCTCTCTGTCTGTCTGTCTGTCTGTCTCTCTCTCTCTCTCATATTGGCCACCTTAATGAGAACTCATTACTCTAGGCAGTGCATATAAAGAAATTTAAGCCCACATCAACACTATCACCACCAACAACAACATAAAATGACAAATATAATATAAACATTATTTAAAGAGAAACAAATTATAACAAAGACAACAAAATCAGAAACTGAGTTCCTAAAGAAAAGTAATACAGTAATTTCCTATCTCAGAGGCAAAATGGTTTTGAAGGCCTTTTTTGAGTTTTCTGAAAGTAAGGCGGGATGAGGCCTGGCATATGTCTGTGGTAAGGAATTCCAATATCTACCAAATAATTTACTAGAACTATTAAATTATGAAACAGGATGTATCAATCTCTTACCTGTCCAGGTGTGTTTCCAGTATGCCAAAGAGCATTTCTCAAATGTTCGCCTGTGCCAGTGGTAGAGTTCACCACTTTAAGTGATACTCCTGAGTAACCATAAGCTCTGGTGGGTTTATCTTCCCAATATGTCTGAGTAACTTGTTTCCACATCAGGACATAGAAGCGACTGCTGGATTGGTAACCAAAGACAAATCCAGCATAATCATCATCCCGCTCTGTATTCACATAGAATGTGCCACTGAAGTCAACAGAACTGAATTCATCATAACCTGGAGTGGGACAGAAAATAGCAGATGGTCATTTCTCACACATGCTGCAATACATCAAGAATTTTAATGTTAAAATGTTACAGTAATTTCATTCATCAACAAAAATATATAAATGTGCAGAGTACAGGACACACAACAATGGACTCAAGTTAAAGGAAGCCAGATTTCGGCTGAATATCATGAAAAACCTCCTAACTGTTAGAGCAGTACAACAGTGGAACCAGTTACCTCAGGAGTTGGTGAGTGCACCAACACTTGAGGCATTCTAGAAAAACTTAGATAACCACTTGGCTGATGTGCTTTGACTGTATTCCTGCACTGAGCAGGGGGTTCGACTTGATGGCCTTGTAGGCCCTATTCCAACTTCACTTTTCTATTATTCTCTGATTTTATGATAAATAAGTTGAATGTAAATGTTTATACTCACTTCCAAGATTGATGTCTAACATTTAGTTTCAGATACTTTCATGACACTTTTTGATTTGAAGCATCCCTTATTTCTCAGGATGAGCAAATTAATATTATCTGCTTTTTATTTTTTTAAAATTCTTTCTCATTTTTTCCATTTTATTTGTACTATCCCTGGCTTTTATACATTATGTTTTTTTAAAAATAAATTTATTTAGGAAACATCGCTGCATGCAGAGGCTAAAGGGCAAGGCCCATCATATATTTAAATTCAGTTCTATGGCCACGAGTTATAACAGGCTGGTTTCAGGTTAGTTATCCTTTGAGGAAATCAATTGCACATATTAGATGAATTTTAATGGGTGCATTCTAAACCTGATATATATTGCAATCCTTTATGTTTACTTAAACTCCAAAGGGACTTTTGTGTGTTACGCGTTATTACAACTTATGGCGACCATAGTAGGGTTTCCAAGATATTTGAGTTTTAGAAGAGGTAGCCATGTTCGTTTGTGCATATATATCAGACTTGCATATTCAACAAATTGCTTTAACTAGTGCAAACCCCCCATGACTTTCAGTGGCTGAGTCCCAGTCTGATACTTTATCCACTACACTATGAGTTGTAACCTCAGATTGGATCCAACCCATGGTATTTCAGAACAATCCAAAAGAAAGAATCCTCGAATGATGGTTGTTGTGAGTTTTTCAGGCTCTTTGGCCTTGTTCTGAAGGAACAAAGCACAAACAGAGTTCCTACTCCTGTCCTCTGAAGATGCCGGCCACAGAGACTGGAGAAACATCTGGAAGAACAACTTTCAGAACACAGCCAAAGAGCCCTAAAAGCCCACAACAGCCATCAGATCCCAGCTGTGAAAGCCTTCAAGAAATCCTAGAATGCTCTTTTGTTTTTAAATTTGTAAGTCACAGTTGGGCTGTGCATTTTTTTTACCACATGCAACAGCCAACATAATTTAATGTCTTTCAGAACATACCACAAATGAGGCACATGTCTGAAGGCCTTCTGCCCTCGGTAAAGAAAAAAAAATCCTTGCACATAGAACAGTGATTCCCAATCTTGCATCCCCAGATGTTCTTGGACTAAAACTTCCAGAAGCCTTCATTCCTAGCTGTGCTGTTGAAGATTTCTCAGATTTGTAGTCCAAGAACACCTGGGGACTTAAGGTTGGGAACCACTGACATAGAAAACAGCATGTCAGGGAAGTGTTCCGCCTAGCTACGATTGATAGCTATTCCACATGTGAGAAAAGGTGGACAGCAGGTATCACTCTTTTGTACCTGCAAAAAAATTATTCTTCTGAGAAATGACCATTTACAAGAACCTATGCCTTAGAGTGATAATACATCACTTGAATCCAGTTGTTAAAATAGTCACCCGGACTAAAAGAATGTAAGCCCACAGAAAGAGCAATCCATTCTATCAAGTCAAATGCCTTCTCAGCATCTAAGATTAGCAAAGTGCATTATTATTTGTAATTATTAACTATGTTTATTATATTGATTAGTTGCTTCATATTACACAGGAATCTTCAGGATGTGTTATAGCCTTTTGTATCAAAGTTGGTACAAATAGAAATAATAACTCTGTTCAGAATTCACGTGGTAAGGCTTACTCTCAGGTAATTACATATAGGATTTTAGTCTTATCCACTTGTAAATTTTAAATTCTTCATTAAGAAATCAAATAGTTCTGTAAGAACACTACCCAATAATAATAAAAATGTCCTACAGGACATTCAAAACCAGTTTACAAAACAGCAAAAGAAATTGCTATTCAAAGCAAAAATGAAAACTTGCAAGGCTAGGACAGATGTGGGAAAAGTTAACTTTTTGGATGACAACATCCAGAAATACAGCCAGCATGGCTATTCTGGTTGTGAGATTCTGTGAGTTTTAGTATTTAAAAAAGGTAACTTTCCCCATCTCTGGTTAGAATGCAACAGAAGACCTTGTGAGTACGTCTCTTAACTAGGGATATAGCCTAGGATTCTACATGTATAGGACTCAGGAGGCTTCTGCTGAAGAATTCAGATTGTTCCAATACTTACCCACAGCAATGCCAGGATCAGAGTTAGCTGTTTGTACCAGTTCTTTACCCTGATGGCGAATAACCCAATTTGGGTCAATCTGAGCTGTTCCTTTAGGATCCAGGGGGACCATCTGGAACTTTCTAAAATCAGTTTCACTAATGGCATCATTTTCAGGACACACATCATAAATATCTGGAACTTTGTCATTATCAAAATCATCTTTGCAGATGTCACCACGACCATCACCTATTATGTGACAATTAGAAAAAAAATACAGAACACAATACTGTTTATGTTCATTCAGCTTCTTTTCTCAGAAGGACAAAGAATTATAAAAATGCTCAGTATATACACAATATAAACACTGAAAATTAAGCAGCTATAGTACCATTTCAAGAAATGACTTTCCATTAAACAATAACTATTGTACTGTATTCCAATGAAACTGTTGTGCAATCTTGGAGCACTTTACTAAGCGTTAGTGGCTGAAGCTACAGGGCATTAGAGTGTACTCCTAGAGACACAAATAAGGCTGATCAATTAAGAGGCCCTTCATAGTCTCAACTATCACCCAATACTACAATTGGAAAAGATTTTGGAAGTCATCTTGTCAATCCTCTGCTCAGTGTACAATCTATAGTGCAGAATGTTACTTCAGCATACTTGACTGATGCCTATCTGCCCTCTGCTTAAATACTGTAGCAATGGAAAGTTCTTTCTGTTTTCCAATAGAGTGGTACATTCCTTTTTGCATGTTGTGATGCAGCTCCAAATACTAGCTGCAGTCTTCTGAAAGTGTTTGGTTAACGTTTTGCAGAAGAATGCAATTAAATAATGAACCTGTTTCAGTCACGCGTCTTGATTCAAATCATTATTTTTAAGAAGGCAATTAAGTGCAAGTTGTTCACTGATAATATCACTTTTGCATGGTACATTGTTGCAGGTACAAATGCCAATAATGTACTGAGCGAAAATGATCAGATCTGAATGTCATAAGAACTTTCATACCTTTGCGAGTCACGCTGGGTTGTGACTTACAACACCACTGGATGGTGCTGTGACAAGAAATGCTGTACCTTGAGAGTTTTAAGATCTCTGTGCAAATTTTGAAAATATAGGACAAGCCCTTATAGGCTGGACCTGGGGAGTGGCCCAAAAGGGTTTCAATTTCCCAATGGCATTCCCAACGGCTTCCCAATGAGACGATTGCCTAACTCATTAATTAACTGAGCAGAATGTTAGGTCAGATACCTGAGAGTTTATTACTGCAGTATCTCAATTGCATGCAGATTGGGATCAATTACTATGGAAGGAAGGTTTCTTCATATCCCAACAAACCCTAAGTGCAACAGAACTTGATATTAATAAGGCGTTTCAGAATGTTGATTCCATTTTATCTCTGTATGATCAGATGCCTTCAGCAATATTCTGTCATGAATATTTAGGATTATGACCTGCATATTTTGTCACATCTGTATCAAATGAGTGAAGAAGGCATTGCAGCAAATAATGTAAAATAACTCTTGGCAGGCTTTATTTATGGAGAAAATAGTTTACCTTGCAAAAATCGCAGTGATGAACTAAATATTTTTTCCTAAACCTTGGAATATGGCTACAATGAAGTCTCAGTGCTACTCCTGTCCTCTGAAGATGCCGGCCACAGAGACTGGCTAAACGTTAGGAAGAACAACCTTCAGAACATGGCCAAAGAGCCCAAAAAACTCGCAACAGCCAAGTCTCAGTTGATTAATACATTATTTATCTATTTGAATGAACAGTCCTCCTAGTATAGAGAAGCCTTACTAGTGGAATTAGAGTAAACTCATTAACAGCTGCTTCTCACTATAATAGCTATAATATTTTGGGATAAAAGGTATATAAACAGAAGAACAGTAGATATTACAGTAGATGTCAAAGGTCACTAAAATGCCATCAATGTCTCTTGAATTCAGGGACTGAAAATTTGCAAATTACTCCCCATTACTTCACAATGGCCAAAATATTGTTGCTTCGCATAGGAAATAGCACAAGAGTAGGTCTAATGAATAAACTGAGATGTAGTGAGCCATATCCTGTCTAAGTTCCATTGATTCAAATAGATCTACAGTACTTTAACTACAACTTCCTATTCTAAAGTAAATTGAAGTTGGTAGGTCCATTTGAATCAATAAAACATATGGAGGTGTTGATTTGATAAAACATTTATTCATTGGGTCTACTCTAGTACGATTTACTGTGGTACACAATTTAAATAAACTCACCCACAAACCATCTACCACATTTTTCCAAACTGTTCAGTTTGTGTGAGAAGTAACATCCATATATGGGTTCCTTGTCTCCCATCAGTTTCTGATATTCCACGAGGTATTTCCAATGTATTTCTCAACTAATTATTTCAGCCAAAGGGGGGCTTGAAATATTTTAAAATGAAAAGCTTAAAGTAGAATTCTCAGCCTGTTTTTTTACCACTAACTATAATTTTCTCCCTTCCTATTATGAGTTGACATTAATGTATCTAATCAACAGAGAACCATATCGCATGTTTCAGAAGCATGTCCTTTTAAAACTGTGTCTACCACTTTAAACTTCAATAACTGACTTTTTGTGCAACAGCCAAGTTAAAACACACATACACAATAACCACACACAGAGATCATGAAAACCCTTGAAAGGCATCTCAATGCTTTCTACAGTTCATCTTTTGGAGTGTGTGGGGGGGGGAAATGGTTCCACATTCTTCTCACTAGCTGCCTGGCTGGTAGCCAAGATGAGCTCCAAATTCTGATCAGCTGTATGCTCCTGGATGTGTTTGTCTTAACATGTAAGTGGGAAATGTGTGTTCTTATTTTATTCCCTTTTCCAACTTCAAAGAAGCAATTTTGTTGCCCAAATGAGGTTCTAATTACTCAGTGCACATGTTCTTCAAATTCCCTATAGTGCTGATTGCTGCTGTCATGACTGCTTCACTTTTAAGAAATTTAGAAAAGCATCTGTCTACAAGGTAGTTTTTCAGGCTGCAGAAGAGAACTATCATTCAATTTTGTTCTTTGATGGGATCCTAACAATCTGAACCTTAACAAAGGAGGCATAAGCAACACAGATTATCCAGTGGGTATCTGTCAAGCTACTCAAAAACCTGGGAAGAACTGATACTCCAGCTAGACCATGTGATTGGAATCACATGGGCAGAATAGATATATAACTAGAATCACATGAATACCATTCTAGTGTGCCAGATTGAGAGCCAATGTATTCAGCATCAGACTACATCAAGGAGACTCAGACTCAGCTTTCTCATTTAACCATGATGGACAACAGATGACACTGATTTAGCACAAGAGTGGCAAAGTGTGGGTCAGAGGATGTATGTTGTCCAAACAGTGCTCCGAGGGCCCCTTATGCTGAAAAAAAACATTCTTGATTTTCAAATGGTCAAGCATGCTCCCTTCAAAGGCGGGGTAGAAGCAATCATTTATAGGCTGTTTCAGATTCCTAGACCTGTTTTAAGCTCACAATAGCTTTTTTAAAAAAAAAAACTGGAGTAGCCTCCAGAGGTACAGGGAAAAGGGAAAATCACTCCCAGGTCTTTGAAAGTTGCCCATCCCTGGTTCCGTGGGACAAAAATAGAGTAAAATAAAATGTTACTCAGTAGGCTAAAATTTTACTGTTCTGGACCAACTAATCTGGGGATTGGCCTTCTTGCTTTTTGAACCTCAGCTTCTAAATCCATCTAACATTATTTATTCAGATAGCTACAGTCAAGATAGCTACATGAAATTTCCAGTAAAAGGCTGCATTTGGGTATCCCTTTGATGCAAGTCTGAGTGATCCCAAATATACTCTTCAAATGGTGTAATTCTTCTCATTAACCATTAAGTTTCCTTCCTTTTCTCCACAAAACAAGAGTGAACAGCCTTTGGACTGCGAGATGTTCTGCCCATGGTTCCCATCCACCCCGCCCATCATGACCAATTGCAAGGAAGTATGGGAAATGTAGTCCAAAAACATATCAAGGCAAATGCTCCTTATGCCATGAGGCTATCCCATAAACAGTCTGTGTGGTTTTCTAAAAAATTAATTGATATTGGTCTATAAGATACTGGTATAATCTGAGCATAACTTGACAATCTGTTGAATCATTTCTGTCATGCTTAATTATATCCAGAATATTCAGCCAACAGGAGATGCTGCAACATGAGTGTTAAAAGATTTCAGGTCACCTTGAGAAAGAGACTGTGCAAAATAAGTCAAATTCATGAAAAAAGAGTGTGCTATAAATCTAGTCTATCTAGTAATCACATTTATGAATCCTACAATGCTAGAAACTGCATATAGCACCTAAAATGAGTCAATAGCAATGGACACATAAAATAGATTGATCTGTAATATAAACAGGTAAGATTGGCTGGTTTTTTTGACACACATGCTCAGCTTAAATTTAACAAAGAGTGGGCAAAGTGAGGCCCCCAGATGCCACCGTACCATAACTCCCATCAGATCAACTCAGCATATCTATTTATAAGGAATGCTGGAACACTTTTTCTAATCCTAATTTAGGGAATATTCTTCATATTTTGTTTGTATCTTGCCCGAGAAGCCACTAGAAATAATTATATTAATGGCTTACATATGGAAAACAAGATAAGGAGGTGGCATCTGTTCATTTTCTCCAGCAAACTTTGTGATTATGGAGTAGCCTACCATCAGAATCCTTCTGGTCAGGATTGAACGTGAGGCGACAATTGTCCCTGTCATCTGGAATACCATCATTGTCATCATCAGGATCACAAGCATCCCCTTTACCATCCTTGTCATGGTCAGCCTGATTGGCGTTGGAAACGTATGGACAATTATCTTTGTTATTCTGGTGACCATCATCATCTATGTCCTCGTTGTTGTCACACTGGTCACCAACCAGGTCATTATCCACATCATGCTAAAAGCGTAAAAAGATGGAATTATTTTCCAGTGTTAATCCTTCAAATGATAAAAAATTTACATTACAGTAATGCATTTCAGATATTTTAGAAATCAGGACGTTATTTGAAACACGTATAAGAAGAATAAGACCGTGAAAATTAGATTTTGAATCATGGTGCTTACTTCAATTGCTTAATTATGTTTCATTCATGAAAATATGAAGTTTCAGTGTCCGACATCTACTTTTAAAATAAATACAACTGGTGCAACTACAGTGCTATGAGAAACTGATTAGCATGCTGCAAGAAATATATCAATTGGGAAAATGACAAGCACTCCTGTGGCCAGCCACAGAGAAGGCTGTCCATCATGCCTTTGTTCTATTAGTTCCTACTTAGCTCTGTATCAGATATCATTCCATGCCCAAAAAGCAAGTGAATCAAGCATTTAAGAGGAAGTGATCTGTACTTCTCCTGATGGATTGCTGTTCTCAACTAACTTCCTTACAAGCAGGAGGAAGACTGGAATCAGAGATACAAAATGGGGAAGCATGTTAAAGCTATTATTACCCTGACATAGGCTAAAGCAGGTGGTGAGTGACTTTGTTGGGGCTCAAAGCCATGTTTCAGATTGGCTGGCAGCTCAGGAGCTGCCATGGGGCAAGGCTGAAATGAGAATGGACGTGGCCTAAGGAACTAATTAACTTTTAAAATTATTTTTATTTAACAATACAGTTTATTAATTTAATAAAATATTATATTTATTTATTTAGATACAACAAATTTCTGTGATATTTCACATTTTCTCTGCAACCTACAATTGAACCTATAAGCAAGTTCAAACCTGTTTATGATTACTCATAAACACCTCACTAGATTAAACATTATGTTTGAACATAAACATGTTCAAACCCACCCATAAGCTCAAAGTTAGGTTGCAGAAAAAAATATGACATGTCACAGAAATCCTCTCCCTAATAATAAATATCAAGAATTCACTGCCACAAACATAGACACTTATATCCTGACAAATTCCCCTAATTCCCCTAGTGGTCGAAAATCTTTTCTTTTTTTGGGCAGGGAGTTCTGAGGACTGCCTGCATAGTATACGTAGTAAAATGGAAGACTAGTACTCAGGAGACGTTCATTGAAATCCCCATAAGGACATGGAAACACACTGGAGATGTGGAACTGGTAAGACCACTCTTTAAATATCTCACACATCTTGAAAGCCCTATAAAAGTTGCTATAAGTAGGGTGCAACTTGATAGCACATACCAAAGAAAGGGGCTCCCAGAGGCCCCAAACATGGCAAAATTGCCCCTTAGTTCCCTTAAAGGGCACAAATGAACATACATTAATATGGTGGATGTTGTGGGCTGGGAGCCCACATGTAGGTAAAGGAGGGAGCACTTGTGGCTCATGGGCTACTGTTTACCCATCTCTAGCCTAAAAGCAAACCTAGAGGTGTGAAGTGTGCCTCTACATCTTCAGGGAAGTTTTGGAAATACTACTCTTATTGACTTTTTAATGTCATTGAACCTCATTGTCAAGTCCTTGTCACCCACCTCCAGCACTTTTCACATGCCTGAAATGGGGAGCCTTATCTAGACAAGGAAACACCTGGATTGGTTTCACAGGGTTCTGAAGCACATGGAGAGTCTCCTTGCATAGTGCACACTACTTGGCTTACACTTCCTCTCTACCCTCAACACAGGAAATAGGTATCTGAATGAAGGGGAGGAGCCAATGAATGCAACCCTCTTCTATTCCTCTCACACAACGGCAACCATGTGAAGAGAGAACGTACAAAGTGGGCTACTGGCTTACACTGATTATTGTTCTAGTTCCTGGAAAAAACAAAGGCTGGCTAACCCCAAAAAATCAAACTAAAGATAGCTAGACATTTTCAAACATCTTTCATTTCTACTATTATTTCCAACAAAAAGTTTCTAAATATAGGCTAACTCAGGCAGTGAAGCTTTAGTGCAGCTCCTGGTTATAATGTAAACATCCAGCATTTGCTCTACAGAAGCAGTTGAGACAATGGGAAGGTGAAAATATGATGTTGCCATTTTAATGAAGAGAAATGTCCTGGTCCCAACAGATCCCCTTTCCAGTCTTAAGTCCTTTCCAGTCTTAAGTCCCTTTATAACATTTGGCAGATAAGAAAATCAGGAGCTAGCTTGTGAAAAACATCTTTGGCCAGGCAACATTCTTAAAATATGAGCTACTGCTATTGATTTCCATGGTGTCTAGTATTTTCATAACCACAGAGAAGGAAACAGCAATGGTTTTGTGCAAATTTTGAATTCCAAACTATTCACGCAAATCAAAGGCAAGTATTTCATACTGCAACTTTCAAAAATGGGGGAACTGGGCTTAAAAAACACAACAACTTGGGCATTTAATTAACATGAAACAATATAGTTTGCCATTAATATTTGCTTTTAATGCAATCATGCATCATATTACTAAAATTCTATGTAAACTAGGTGATATATAATCTTTGCCAGATTGAATTATGAATACATAAAACACAGTACTGTTATAATGTAAGGCTGGAAAGCCCCATGTGTTCTAGAACTTATGTTCCTAATTTTAAAATGCCTGCTGGGCCAAATAAAAAAGCACATATTCATGCAGGCACACACATATGCTCTCCCATACTTTATGCCACTTATATGCATAGAAATATAGCATGAATGTTAACCCAACTCCCATTGCGCACGCACACACACACCAATGCTAAGAATCTGTTTATATGAACTCTATGGAAAGCAAACTGCATCATTCACTTTTTGCGATGAATATTTTAGTTCCCTGAATAACTATAAAATGAGCCTCCCTTGTTTGTCGCCAAAGGGTGTCCCTACAATTAAGCAGGATAGGATACCTTGTCTCATGAATTTTGCCTCAACAGATTTTACAGTACCAAAGATGGTACGATCTGACTCAAGGGCAAATGAAGCAACCATTTGACTGAACATCTGGGTCTAGTCAATGGATAGATGGGAAATTGCATGGGAACATATGTAGCCCATTTTGAATTTCACGATGGAAGAAAGCTCATCTATAAATAAATTAAATAAATATTTCTGATGGCTTGGTTATTATTATTATATCATTTCTGCCACAGGAAATTCCATTTGGACTTTTTGTCACCCATTCCTAACCCCCTCTTCATGATGCTGACCAAACAGAAAGCACAAACCAATTTTCAAATTTATAGTTGTAAAATACCAAATGCCATTTCTCCTTTGACAACACTGAAACTAGTGGCCAAAGAAAGTACAAAGTAGAACTCTTATCAGAAACATGGCTACCTAATCGTGTTAGTCTTAACCACTCAGAGATAATTCACACGTGCAAGTATCTCACAAAAAAAAGACATATCTCAGCTCAAAATGAAAAGTGGAAAGCACAGCAATGTGTAATTTCTATCTGTGGTGCTAGATGTATGATAGCTTTTTCATTCATACTGGTCATCACTTCAGGCAGAAGAATGGCAAACATGTACAAGTGAACACACTCTCAAGTGGAAATAGTTCCTAAAAAAGAAGCCTTCATTTCACGTCACTAATCTACATTTTGAAAGGATTTGCTGCAGTGAGTGGAATGAGTTAGATATTATCTTCCCAACAATGGAATAGGCTTCCCCTGACAAACAGTTATGCATTTGTGCCTTTCAAAGAGCATCATGTACTGTTGAAGCATCCTTGATAGTGAGCAAAAGTACTGTTTCTCCACAGATCCTGAACTGCATAGTAATCTATGGCATCTCTACAGTGAATAAAGACAGAATTTTTTAAAGTCATTCCTAAGTGGTTTTATTCGACCCCAATAAAGAAGCACCAGGCCATTTACCTGGTCAGGATTGTGTACTAATGGGCAGTTATCACAGTGATCGCCAACTCCATCCCCATCTGTGTCTGTCTGTTCAGTGTTGTAGACATATGGACAGTTATCTCGTGCATTGAAAACATCTGCCAGAATTAAAATGAAAACAGTGCAAATAAAATCATACATTCATATTACATGGAACAACATTCAGTTTTCAAGAACTAGAACTAGTTATAAGCAGGGCATATTTCAGTTTTATTGTCATGGAATTCCAATAAGGCAAATCAAGGAAGGAGATCCACTGAGTCTCATGGCCATTTTGGGACTGAAATCTGGGCCTCATCAAGGCAGTGGCATGAAGCACACAGAACGTCTTGAACATACAGTACTGTTGTGTTTTCCTGTGCCTGTTAAGTTAGGAAGGCTTGGCAAGACAAGTCTTCCCATAACTGAATCCACATTTCAGAGGTTACAAATACTAGATAGTCGGCAGGCTGTCTGTCTAGCTTCACATTGGTTAAATGCCTTTAGGATGACACATCAAAGTGAGTTGTCCCAGTTTATCTCTTATTTTCTGCTGGATTCCTTACCACAAAAACAGCTGCATGAACATATAGCAAAAATTGCAGGTCAAGAACATTTGCCTGTTATTTTGTGGCAAATTTATTATCTATCTACGCCCATGTTGGTTGCTGATATTACTAAACTATTGAGAATCCAAAAACATGGTGATACTGCAAATAACAATCAGACCTACCAGTACTTCCTCTGCCTTCTGCACGTTCAAGATATAAGCCATTCTTTTTGAAATGCATTACAAAATCTCCTGAACTGACCTGAGTTATATGGTGTCCAGTTTCTGATTTCAATTATCTTTGGATCAATAATGTGTGCGTGTATTAGTTTTTTTAAAGATATGCATTTAATTTTTATTATTAAATTAGAATGAAACATGATAACAATTTAATTGTCTAGCTGCCTTATTGATTTAGAAAATATTAAATGTAAATGCCTTTAAAAATAACCTTGAGTGTTGATATAAATGTTATGCTATGGAAAACCTTCAAAAGTTTAAAGATTCTCCTGATAGACAGATCTAACATTTCACGTATTTATTGAATCATATTTCCCTTAGTACTGAAAACTAAGGATTGAACTGCCAGGAAATATTCCAGCAACATTTTTGGGATATAGAGGCTTCTGCTTCTAAATCCTGCCAAAACCCACAATGCTAGAGTCACTGCAAAAACACCAAAGATGTTTGGGTTGGTAGATTTTTGAGCACTGGGCTACTGTTCAGGTCTATTTTGCCAGTTTAATAACCTTAAATATCACTATTGGGTTCTTTCCTCTCTCCCAGAGCCAGAAATGTAATTTGGGATCTTTGTTATTCCACCATCCAGAATACTTTTTTCCTCTTCTCCCAAGGCATTTTGGCAAGCATTTTGGGTGAAGACATTTGATTTAGCTGGCACATCAAGTGTAGTTCTCCATGTAGGGATATTATGCATGAATATTTCATGGTATTATACTCTTTTACTTCTTCTGAGCTGCCCAGAGAACACATATTTGGGTGGCCTAGATAAATGCAGTAAATTATATACATACATGGCTATTGCTAGACCATAATATTTATATTCTTCATTAAATTAACATATCAAATGAACAGGGCATTCTTAAAAAGTGCTTCTCCAAGTTATGAGCTTTTGCCCATTGGGAGGTGTACAATGGGTTGACTGGTTTTATGGTTAAAATGAATGGAATTTATCATATTATTGATCATATTATTTTCTAAGCCAATATTATTTTACGATGATTTGGAAGTTTTATTTTGCTATTTGTTAGCCACCTAAGATGTAGACATAAAATCAAGGCAAGCATACAAAATTAAAAGCACAGTCCTATTTTTACATCCCATTCATGTTAATAGAAATTATTTAACTCTGTGCTTCTACCTTCCTTAGAAATACATACATTCAAGTACTTAGCACCTTAGAAGGATTTAATACAGATTGTTGAGATGTCAATGTATAGCAAGAGGGAGCAGTGGTCATAAAATGTGCTTCATGGAAATGAGCCTGAAAAAAATATGTTAGACTGGTCAAGTTTCAATCTGTTTCCAGAATACTAAATTCTGCAAACAATTGACATGTGTGAACAGACTTGTTGTTTGTACCACTTGCTGGATTGGGAACAAAGGCCATCAATGTATGGATGTTTTAAAGCAGGACCTAGCATGGGTGGGGCCAGAATTGCTCATGAGGAAGAAAGCTTGACAGGGAGCAGTAGCTTATTCAGGACCAGTTTTACAAAAAGGAATAAAAGCAGAAGAAAATGAGAATAAATGAAAGTGTACCATCTCCGTCAATATCGACCGCACACGCGTCACCTTCTCCATTATTATCAGTGTCAATCTGAGCAGGATTATGCACGTAAGGACAATTATCACATCGATCACCAACCTCATCCTTGTCATAATCAAATTGACGGGGATTAAAAAGAAGGGGACAGTTGTCCTAGAAAGATAAAGAATATTAAAGAAAAAATGCATTGGCACAGCTCAGAGACTACTATCTTTCCAGTAAAAATCTTCCCTTTGCATACATTAAATATAATTAAGAACAAATATTCCCAATGGTATGAGGAAGAGCCTGCAGCTCATGGCTCATGTCACTTATCATTTATCGACAACATTTCTCTGTGATTTTTGCAGGTAGGAAGTAAATATGAACAAATAATAATTTTTATATTCCAACAACAAAATATAAAACCCACACATCCTGGACAGTTAAATATAATGGGGACTACCTGAGAGTAAATTATTTCAGCTTCAAATATTTCCCCAGGTGGATACTATATAGTGCAAGTTAATAAAGCAGCTGTAAAATTAGATGAGACTTTGTTCTCTGAACACTTTGTTGGCTTGCAATGCAGAGCATATAAAGTTAGGAACATCTGTATATGCAGAGCTCAGAGAAGTTACTCTTTAGACTGCAGCTCCTCGGATTCCCCAATCAACAGAGACAAAAGTCATGCTGGCTGGAAAAATTTGGGAAATGTAGTAAAAAAATTAAAAGAGTGTTGCTCAGTTCTACTAAATAACAGTGCAGCAGCTGAAGCTATACAGTTTACAGCAGTGATGTCCTTCTATGCAGCTCAGACAAATCAGGACATTTGTTGTTGTTTGGTCGTTAAGTCATGTCCATGGACCAGAGAACGCCAGGCCTTCCTGTCTTCCACTGCCTCCAGGAGTTGGGTCAAATTCATGTTGGTAGCTTCAGTGACACTGTCCAGCCATCTCATCCTCCGTCGTCCCCTTCTCCTCTTCTCTTCACTCTTTCCCAACATCAGGGTCTTTTCCAGGGAGTCTTTTCTTCTCATGAGATGGCCAAAGTATTGGAGCCTCAGCTTCAGGATCTGTCCTTTCAGTGAGCACTCATGATTGATTTCCATCAGAATGGATACGTTTGTTCTCTTTGAAGTCCAGGGGACTCTCAAGAGTCTCCTCCAGCACCACAATTCAAAAGCATCAATTCTTCAGTGGTCAGCCTTCTTTATGATCCAGCTCTCACTTTCATACATCACTACTGGAAAAACCAAAAACCATAGCTTTGATTATGTGGACCTTTGTCGGCAAGGTGATGTCTCTGCTTTTTAAGATGCTGTCGAGGTTTGTCATCGCTTTCCTCCCAAGAAGCAGGCATCTTTGAATTTTGTGGCTGCTGTCACCATCTGCAGTGATCATGGAGCCCCAGAAAGTAAAATCTGTTACTGCCTGCATATCTTCCCTTTCTATTTGCCAGGAGGTGATGGAGCCAGTAGCCATGATCTTATTTTTTTTTTTACTGTTGAGATTCAGACCATTTTTTGTGCTCTCCTCTTTCACCCTCATTAAGAAGTTAGTTAATTTCTCCTCACTTTCTGCCATCAGAGTGGTATCATCTGCATATCTGCAGTTGGTATTCCTTCCAGAAGTCTTAATTTTGGCTTGGTATTCCTCCATCAGTCTTTCGCATGATGTAATCTGCATATAAGTTGAATAAGCAGGGAGACAATATACAGCCTTGTCGTACTCCTTTCCCAATTTTGAACCAATCAGTTGTTCCATAGCCAGTTCTAACTATTGCTTCCTGTGCCGCACATAGATTTCTCAGGAGATAGATAAGGTGGTCAGGCACTAATCAGGACATTGGAAAGATATTAACAACTTCAAGGTGATGGCCATTTTGATTTTTTTCTGAAAATAAAAAGATGGTGGCTTAATGAAGATAAAATAGAGCTTACTTTATCATCTTCCACACCATCATTGTCATCATCTTCATCACAGGCATCACCTTTTCCATCCTTATCAAAGTCTTCTTGTCCAGAATTAGGCAGAAGAGGACAGTTGTCCTGTAAATACAAAAAGAAAGTATCATGATTGATACATGCGTCCATTTTGCATCTTAAGTATATGAACATTAATTAAAGTTTGTTCCCCAGCAGATTACAAAATAAACCACCAAGCAATTCAAAATAGAAATTCTAACAATATTCCTAGGGAAATTAAAATTAATTAATTAATTAATTAATTGTATTTATATCCCACCTATCTAGTCAATTATGACCAGTCTAGGCGGGTTACATCATAAAATGCATGTGCATCTTAAGTATATGAACATTAATTAAAGTTTGTTCCCCAGCAGATTACAAAATAAACCACCAAGCAATTCAAAATAGAAATTCTAACAATATTCCTAGGGAAATTAAAATTAATTAATTAATTAATTAATTGTATTTATATCCCACCTATCTAGTCAATTATGACCACTCTAGGCGGGTTACATCATAAAATGCATAAATATATAAACAGCTACAACATATTTGTATTCAATAAACTCTCAAGCTTTGGTTAAATTACAGGATACTTTTAGACTAAAATGATAAGTAATTATAGTTATTTATACTACTACTACTACTGCTGAACAACTACTACTACGTTTAGCATTACTCCTACTCCTATGTGCCACCAAGTTGCTACTAATACAGTCTTCTAATAATCTCCATTAAAATGTAAATTTAAACCTTGGGTTCTTTTTAAGGAGAAAGATGGTATAAAAATATTTTAAATAAGTAAGTAACTAACTAAATAAATTCTATACCCCTCTTACTTACCTTTATGCAATGATAAGTAGCATTGGAAGCACAGACCAGGTTATTATTGGGCCATCCATCCAGATCAGAATCTTCACCACAAATGAACCCATCACCAGCATAGCCAGTCCTACACTCACACTTGTACATGGGATCACTGAAATGCCCCAAGTAGATGCACTCTGCTGACCTGTGGCAGTTATGTGTTTTGTCTTTGCAAGGGTTGGCAGGTTCACATACCTGAAAAGGAGATCATACGTCATTCAAACCATGCTGAATTGGGAACATACAGGATTGTAGGTGTGGTACAAGATTAATCATTAGAATAATTAAACTATAACACAGGGCTACAGTTAAATTGGGAAGGAGAATGCTTTCAATAAATCCCATCTCCCCTAATTTTAAAAATTACATTAAGAGCTGCAAGGAAATTTAGTTGATTGGTATGTCTAGATTTCATAGATTTCTTCTATACAGTATCATAACAATTTACAATGCTTGAAAACAAATATGCTTTATAAACAAAAAAGAACAGGGCAATAGACTTTGGGGACTAGGAAAAGCTGCATAGTTAAACTACAGCTGCGAAGATAGAAAAAGCTACTTTTTGAACTGCAGTTCCCAGAACACTCAAGAACTAGTTTATGGCCACGTTGACTGGAGTATTGTGGAAATGGTAGCCATAAAAACTAACTTCTCCTACCTCTATACATTTCTGTCTGTGGATGTGAAAATAACAGGGAAAAATTTAGGCAACCAATGAATCATTTCCACACAGTACTAAATAATTCAAAATAAACATTTCATTTAATTTAGTTGACATGTGAATAAAAAGAGGAAGAAAAGACAATGTGTCTTTCCAGCTGCAGAATCTCACTTTTCAAAGGGCTGGCACAGGGGTAGGTCAAGTATTCAGCATGATACTGTTTTTTTATTGAAATGGCACATGATTATCCAAAATCTCTGACAAATCAAATGGGTAGATAAATGGAAATGTCAACTTCCTGTAAAATTGCTGAGCTCTGGACTGCATATCTTCCAGTTGGTCCCAGATTTAATAAGCTTTGATTTAAAATCTTGGCTTCACAAAATTTCTCTCTCACATCTGCAGACTTCTGGATATCATTAACTAATATAAACTTACTATGAGGCAGAAACATCTAATCCCACCCATTTCCTTTGCAGCAACTGAAGGATGTAGCACCTAACCAAGAAGTGAGATGCCATTGTTGTAAAAACAGAGAGGCAACCTAATGGTCTGTGATTTCCTTTCAACAAGTGTCAACTGGTGCTTCCTTTTTAGACTGACAACTTTGCAAGAAGTTTTAATATTAATGAATGTGTTTGCTATTCCAGTAAGAAATGGGAAAAAGAATGCAGGCAGACACATGGCTGTGTCAAATAATTTCACAAAATATATCCATTATATTTGTTACACTGGTTCTTCCAAGAGTGCACTGAGGAGATCCTATTAAACAAGAATCTGTGTCTCTAAGGCTAAACTTAATGTTTTTCCACTAGGCACCTTGTGTAGCTTGTAGGCAGGCAATGAAGTCATTTTGCCAAACAAAGGACACAGTATACACATCCTTCTACATATTAATGCCAACTGGACCAGTGGTTTCAAGGGCAGCATCCTCCACAGCCTCTGAGGGCAGCTAGCTAGGTTAAGACATGCAGGATAAGCCAAATGGCCCTCAGATGCAAGGCAAACTGCTGACATACAGCTTTGTCCTTCTGTCCAGCATCACCAATTGCCACCTCCCAATACCTGCTGCCTAAAGACACTGCCATACTCTGCCTAATGGGAGGACTGGCTCTGTTCATGGCCCTTTTAATTTGGTCCTAATTCATTTGTGAGTATTAATATTTCATGTAATTTTTGTTGTTATTTAAAGAAATTACTGACATAAAATTCTAAACCAGTTCAGTTTGATTTGTAATGTCACATACTCTAAATATGTAATTTTACACTTTTCAGTCTCATAGTTCTATAATCTCCAGGACCAATATCTCCACTCCCTTTTGTGCCTCATTTTTGTTCCAGATGTCCACTATAGGCTACAGATGTCAATAGCACTTACTTGTTTTTCTGTCTGGGCAGCTTCTAATCCCACCCCATAAGGCTGAGTTCCTTTGTAGCGTGGAGGGCAAGGCAAACAATGGAACCCTGGATTTGTGTTTACACAACGGTGGTTCTGATTCAACCTAAAGCAAACATCTGGCACAACCGTACACTGCCAAAGCAAAAGACAAAGACAAACAAATTACTGAGTTATCTCATTGGGAGGGACAAGTATTTCCATGGGAGAGACTGAAGAACCAGTTCCATGCAAAAGGAAGCTGTGTCTACCTCATCAAGGTCCTCACAGAATGTTCCATTTCCAAGATAACCAGCAGGGCATGCACCACAAGACCAAGACCCATCAGGGTAGCTGTTGCAATCTGCTCCCGGAAAGCAAGGATTTGACAAACATCCATCTGCCAAAAGATAAAAGATGCCATAATTTGGGGCAGGACTAAACTATTCTCCTCAACGGGATAATGCAAGAGGAAAAAGCGAAGGGGGAACAAGAGACTGTAGCATTTACATGTGGACATTTTCTTTCCAATATTCTTTGGAGACATAAACAATTGGCTGTATTAACCAATACAAGACAACAGGCAGAATCCTATCAGCAATTGTAGCTTTGTGGCGTTCTGGCTTGCCGTTAAACATACTGGAGATGACCACATTGAAATCAACAGTGGTGATAGGTCTGCAAGGAGGTACTGATTACCTGCTTGTGAAACTGGCCAAAAAGACAACAACCGTGCATGCAACAGGCCATTGTACAAGTGGAAAAAAAACACTTTGGGGTTTATACCTCATACCTGTTTGACAACAGGCCAGCTCCACTATAAAGCCACAGCAGTGAAAGTTAGATACTATGAATCCTAGCTTAGAAGTGACCACTTGAATCTGGTAGCAGCAGTTCTCCATGGCAGGAGTTTCTTTAAAATGCCAAGCACTCTGTCTTGGACCTTTCATAGGCAAATCATGTCATTTCTATTTCAGTTTGAATTTGATTTGATTTTTATACTCCACCTCAAAAGACCTCAGGGCAGGGAATAAACAAGAAGCAATTTGAAAACATTTAAAACCACATGCAGCAATTTAAACTATTTACAGCAGTGGTTCTTAACCTTGGGTTACTCAGGTGTTTTTGGACTGCAACTCCCAGAAGTCTTCACCACCAGCTGTGCTGGCTGGGGTTTCTGGGAGTTGCAGTTCAAAAACACCTGAGTAACCTAAAGTTAAGAACCAATGATTTACAGCCCTCTGAGACTGCATACAATTGTATAATTTTGAACTCCGCAAACTGCTCAAGCCAAGAGCCTTCTGTCCAAAGACTTCAGTGTGGAGCCCGATTTTTGCTTGGTATAAAAACTGATGTGAAATCAGTGCCAATCATGCTTCCTAAGGCATGGTGTTCCACAACCAGAGTGCCATGGCAGAGAAGGTTCTCCTCCATGTCTCTGCATAGTTTCTTGCTTCTAGTGGCAGGAAACAGAAAAGGGCCCTTCTGTGTGAGCTATCACAAAGCTATGGCTTCTCCAAAAATATTAGGCTGATCTTGAAGAAAGGCTAGGTATACTACATCTCACATGAAGACTGGCAATATTTGATATTCCATACTCACCAATTGGACAGTCCTGCTTGTTGCACATATCCCGCTGTAAAACATCTCCTGCACACGGCTTTCCACCATATTGAGGCTCTGGACTGTTACAGAGACGAGATCTTTCACGTATTCCTCCACCACATGTAACTGTGCAAGCAGACCATGGAGACCAAGGGCTCCATCGACCATTGACTAGATAAGCCAGAAAACAAGAAAAATTAGCTCAAACAAAATGGAACAATCAAGTCAATACATCAGCTACCAGAGGATGGTGCTGAAATTGTTCCACTAATTTTATCAACTTAAGTTGATTGCCCAGCTGGAAAAGAAATGAAAGCAGCAGTGGTTCATGCATTTTAATCTCTAAAATAGACCACTGGAACACTCTCTATGTAGGGCTGCAATTGAAATAAGAATGGAAATTCAGCAGGTACAAAATGTAGCAGCCACACTTACTACAGGTGCCAGCAGATATGAACATATTCTCAGTCTTGGAACATCTTAATTGGCTCTCTGCTAGTTTCTATGCACTTCTTCCTTTTCTTTGTCATCTGTTACCATTTCTCCATCCCTATTGAGTAGCCAAGCCACTATTTCTTTTCTATGTCTTTTGCTACACATGCACCTGAAGAACAGTTTTGTTGTTGCTCCTTTTAGTGTCTTTTGCTACTTTCAGCTCATTCTCAGCTTTTGCCTTCCCAACAACATACCTGGAATTCTTTTCCACTTGTCTGTATTCTTCCTTTGTGGACTGGCCTTCCTTCCACTTCTGTATTTATTTTCAGATCCACTCTAAGTTTTTTGTAAAGTCATTTTCGCCTCTCTTTTTTGCTGTTTCCTCTTTTTTTTCTTGCTGGAATTGTTCATAATTCTGCCTTTAGAATTTCCTTTTTAAGAAACTCCTGCCATGGGGGTTTTCCTTATTATTGTTCTAAGTTCCTTAAAATTGGCTTTCCTTAAATCCAGAATACACATGCAGCTACACTCTGCTTTTGTTTCCTTTGAAACCAAAAACTCAAGTAGAACATGGTCACTTTCACCCAAAGCATCCCTTACTGCTACTTCTTCCACCAAATATATTAGCTAAAATCAAGTCAAGGATAGCTATTTATTTCTGAGCCTCGTGGCACAGTGGTTAAACTGCTGTACTGCAGCCAAAAACTGCGCTCACGACCTGGGGTTCAATCCCAGGTAGTCGGTTCAAGGTTGACTCAGTCTTCTATCCTTCTGAGGTTGGTAAAATGAGTACCCAGTTTGCTGAGGGGGCAATGTGTAGCCTGCATAATTAACTTGTAAACCACCCAGAGAGTGCTTGAAGCACAATGGCGTGGTATATAAGCAGCACACTTTGCTTTTTTGCTTTTTAGTCTGTTCCTCCATTTTTTGTAGGAGGAAATTATCAGCATTACAAGCCAGCTTTATAGATGAGCTCTTTTTTCCAAACCAATACTGTAATGGTTACTCTTCTAGGTAAAAATCCTGAGCTGCACAAGCAGATTTCCCTTCAATAAAAGGATCTCTCAATTCTCTCATCCCAGTTTGAAGCACATTGGCCAAAATCCTGTTGCATAACATAAGCAAATTTATACGTTTCAGTTTGTTCTCCACCTCAGTTCTCCAGGTAGCTCGCAATCCTTGGTGCAGTTGCACATGGTCTTCATTTATTTGTACGGAACAAACTTAGGCATGTATGTTATGCAATAGGATTTTGGCCTCTGCTTTCATTTCAGATGTGGTAAAAAAAAGATCAACTGATTAAATAAATAAATAACAAATCAGTAAGGAATAGTTTAGCAGCTATTTGGAGCAGAGCACCAGAAGTGATGTGCTAAAAAGTCTTTTCAGCCTGACAAATGTTGATATCCAAGCTACTGGTTAATTTTACAATGGAGGTTCAGACAAGCAAACTTACTTGGACAAGGAGGTCCTTCACATTCTTTGGTTTCACGCCCGCTTCCTTTGCAGCCTTTCCCACCCATCTGTGGTATGGGGGAGTTGCAGAGACGTATACGAGTTATGTTGCCCACTCCACAGGTCACTGAACAGGAAGACCAAGGAGACCAGTGGCTCCAACCACCATCCTGACGTACTGACCAGGGGAAATAAAAATACAAGTCAGCTCAAAGGCTCTAACAGAAGATCCCCTTTGACATCTAGTAATGTGAGTATAACTAAATCATTTATTCCAAATTGTCATAGATGCTACATCTGTCTCTCAGTCTGTGCAATCATCTAGTCAGCTGTTTCTACACAAAGGAGTAGTGAGACACGATCATGTCTCACTACTCCTTTGAACGGCAATTAGCAAGACAGAATTTTGACATGCAATCACAAGGATTCCCATGTGAGTCACACAGAGCAGTATTGTTATCTCCCAGTTCTCCAAAATCTGGAAACAGTTCTTTTGCATGTAAGGTAGGATCCATAGTAAAGGAGGCATTGCAAAAGAAAGCAAAGACACAGCACTTACTGCGGTTGTCACATTTGCCAAGGGAGCAGGTTCTGGTTTGAATGGAAGGGCCTCGGCAAGTGTTACTGGTGACATCACATGAGCGTCCACGCTGCTGGGTGCCAGATCCGCATGTGACAGAGCATTCTGTCCACTCTGACCAGGGAGACCAGCCTTCTTCACTATCATCAGCTACAAAGCAAAAGAATTACAAAGGGGATTAAGGACTCTGCTGTGTCAAGTATTTGTAAGTGAAAGTCTTTTAAATTTTGCAATTCATTTAGCAAGCCAAAAGTATGGACAATCCAAAAACTATCTATTGTGTTATCAGCTCCCTGAAAAAGAGGCAGTTGTTCTTATGCCAATATGCAGTACACAGTACTGGACACAGCCTAGTCATGCTTGTTGCTATTACCTTGCATAACATGAGATCATAGAAAATATAACTTTTCTGGATTGCAACCCAAGACTCCCCCATCCACCATGGATCATGTAACTTATTTAAATTAGAAAAATGAGAATACTTTCTCATTTCTTCTATAAATATCAGTAATCATGGATGATTAAAGCTACTCCAAATATCTGTAATTTCCTAAGATTGTAAAATATTTTTGGTGTTCTGTTACAGAAACTATGGCTGCCTACTTAAAAAACTAAAATTAACGTTATTCATTAATCCATCATTAAATTCAACATACTAAACTATATAATACACTTGATATTTTTGACACACTACATACTTAAATATGCTATGTTATCTGTCAACAGCATGAGAAGTAAAGGAAGATGTTGTCATATGACCCAAGCTTCAAGTTATCTCTCTATGGCCTTGCATGCAAGTTTTAAAAATACACTGTCCAAGTAGGTCATACTTACAGTGAGAGCAGACAGGACAGCACTCGCCATCAATAAAAGACGGGCTGACACAATGCACAGGTGGGCATGTAATTTTATTGCACACTGTTTTGGAGTTCTATATGCAAATGAAACAAAACACACCCAATGTTCAAAGTTTGAACAAGCTAGACGTCCCATCATTCAGTAGAACATTCTCCTAAAAGAAATGGGATGGTCATTGCAGGAATTATGCTGGGATTAAGTAAACTGTTTTTTAGGGACAAAGACACATCACAAGAGGCACACTGTGGAGCTAACTGCAGCTCAGAAAAGTTACTTTTTTGGATTACAACCTGCAGAGCTCCTCAGCCAGCATGATGACTCCAAAGCAAAGTTCCAATTATATCTGTTACCTTCACTGGTCTAAAAGTGTTCTCGGTCAGTAAAGAAAGTGGACATGATTGGAACGTGACTTTGCAATGTGTCCACTTTGAAAAATTTGAAAGGAAAGGATTAAAGGCATCAACATTGTCATTTGGGGACTGAGGGAAATGGTGTGGCCCCAGCCTGTGTATGATACAATCTGTAGCATTTAACCAGGGAAAGAGGTTGGCTTAAAGCCTATTCCATTAGCAGAGATGGCAGCAGTTATTGTCACTCTTATAATGGAACTGATAAGTGTGCTTTGGATCACAGCAAATATTTATGGCCATCTCTAAAAGATCACCTCTTCATGGATTGCTGCCTTGTCGTGGTGAAGGGGCTTGAGTAACTCAGAGAAGCTATGGGCTATGCTATGATGGACAGGTCATAGTGGACAGTTCCAGCTAAATGCGATCCACCTAGAGTAGGAATTGGCAAGCCACTCCAGTATCTTTGCCAAGAATACCCCATGAACAGAAAAAAAGGCTAAAAGATATGATGCTGAAAGATGGGCCCCTCAGGGCAGAAGGCATCCATCATGTTAATGGGGAAGAGTGGAGGACAAGTACAAGTAACTCCAGATCTAATGAAGTTGTTGGGCCAAAGCTGAAAGGACACTCAGCTGTGGACATGCCTGGAAGTGAAAGGAAAGTCCAATGCTGCAAAGAAAAATACTGTATAGGAATCTATGAACCTTGGTAAGCTGGATGTGGTCAAACAGGAGATGGCAAGAATAAACATCGACATCCTGGGTGTCAGTGAACTAAAATGGACAGGAATGGGCGAATTCAATTCAGACGATTATCATATCTTCTACTGTGGGCAAGAATCCCGTAGAAGGAATGGAGTAGCCCTCATAGTCAACAAAAGAATGGGAAAAGCTGTAATGGGATTTAATCTCAAAAATGACAGAATGATTTCAATTCGAATCCAAGGCAGACCTTTCAACATCACAATAATCCAAGTTTATGCACCAACCACCAATGCTGAGGAGACTGAAATTGAACAATTTTATGAAGACTTACAACACCTTCTAGAACTGACACCAAAGGAAGATGTTCTTCTCATTCTAGGGGATTGGAATGCTAAAGTAGGGAGTCAAGAGATTAAAGAAACAGGAACTTTGGCCTTGGAGTTCAAAACAAAGCAGGGCAAAAGCTAATAGAGTTTTGTCAAGAGAACAAGCTGGTCATCACAAACACTCTTTTCCAACAACACAAGAGGCGACTCTACACATGGAAATCACCAGATGGGCAATACCGAAATCAGACTGATTATATTCTCTGAAGCCAACGATGGAGAAGCTCTATACAAACAGTAATAACAAGACTTGGAGCTGATTGTGGCTCTGATCATCAGCTTCTCATAGCAAAATTCAAGCTTAAACTGAAGAGAGTAGGAAAAACCACTGGGCTAGTCAGATATAACCTAAACCAAATCCCTTATGAATACACAGTGGAAGTGAAGAACAGATTTAAGGAACCTGATTTGGTGGACAGAGTGCCTGAAGAACTTTGCATATAGGCTCGTAAGATTGCACAGGAGGCAGCAGCAAAAACCATCCGAAAGAAAAGGAAATGCAGGAAAGCAAAGTGGCTGTCCAACGAGGCCTTACAAATAGCAGAGAAGGAAAACAATGAATTATGTGAATAGGGGTGGGAGAAAATTGTATGATATAAAAATGCAGACATACTTTTATTCATGCCTCACCTGGCAGTGACATTTTGTGCAGCTATCCACAACCCAACGCGAATTATTTGCAAATTCACGACCATCCTGCCAGCACGCCGACTGGTTCTTGAGTGTTTTGTTGGGGCCAAGCAGTTCTGACACAATTTTCTCATTCACCTCAGTCTGTGCAATGAAAAGGTCAAGAGAGAAGCACTGAGCAATTTTACTGTTTTAACTGATGAACAGTCACTTCCAAGCATAAAAACCTGAATTCAGGTTTTATGTAAACCCACCACATGTACATAAGTATGAGATTCTACTTATTTTAGGTTAAAATGCTAGCAATCCAAAAAGATGCTTCTTAAAACTCATTTAAGTAATTTATCTGAAGAAGAAGAAGAAGAAGAAGAAGAAGAAGAAGAAGAAGAAGAAGAAGAAGAAGAAGAAGAAGAAGAAGAAGAAGAAGAAGAAGAAGAAGAAGAAACAATTCAGTGACTCTATTACTTCCCTGGGCTCAAACTTTTCAACTGATGCTATAATTAGTGCTTGCCAAACTTCCAAAGCTCACAACAAATTCTACTGAAAAAGGTTTTCTTCCAGTCAGACTAAGCTTCCTTAAACTGAAAGATGACTTCATTACTCAGACACAACAGATTATCTGAGATCCATTCCCAATGTGTGAATGTCATGTATGGCACAGAAGGAAGCAGGCAAAGAAACATTTTGATTATGCTATCATTTGCGCAAAGGATAAATCTAGCCCCCATCCATTGTGCCCTCTCTTCACTCCTTCTCTCTCAAAGCTGCCTACTTATCTACTCCAGCTTCCAATGACATTCCAGTTTGAAAGATCATTCCACCCAACTCCCTCAACAAAAGATCTCCTTGGCTCCTTTTGTTTTAGATTGGAATTTTCCTGTATTGGTTATTGAGAATCAATTGCATAAGGGAGCATTTGGCAGGCTTCAAGGGCCCAAGATGGTACAATGCCACCTCAAGGCACTTTGGCAGGTAAGGTATAAACTCCAAATGGCACCTACCCTGAGCTTAAAAAATTGTAATCCTACATAAAATCTAATTCAGTTCTTGAGTCTGGCTGCAATGACACCGTCATGCATAAGAAAAGAAAAAAGAACAATCTTGGAGGGAACCCTAAAGTTCAGAGAAATATAAGAAAAACTTGACAAGAAAAATGAAGGAGGAGTCAGGAATAATCCAAGTACAGCCCAACGAGAATGCAGCATACTCAACAGACAGAGGGTCAGAAAAACAGATGAAAAGGAATGAAAGGGAAGAAGGTGTGTCTGGCCACCTGGCATCCTGCACAGAAGTATTACCTACTGCAAAAAATTAAATCACAATCTTTTAATGACACTCCACCTCTGCTATGTCAGGTAATAGTTCAGTCATGAATGAGATATATTACTTACAAGGTTTCTATTCCATTATTCTTGGCTTTTCTTAGAACATTTGAAGAAAGCATTTGGGATGCTTTCTAAATGATAAAATGATCTCATTTGCACTGCCTTAGTTTAACAATATGAACCCAAGGCTGGAAAGTACTATATGTATGATGAAACATTTACAGTTAAACAGACTGGGTATACTCACCACTTTTTCTAACTGTTCAGTTAAACCATTGACAACAATGCGTAGTCCAGTGAGTTCAGTAAACATAGATCCCAGCTCTTCACAAGAACGATCACAAAATTCTGCTTTTTTCTCAACATTATCCCCAACATACTCTGTCATAACTGATGGGTTTAGGTGAAGGATCTCTGTGCTCTCATTGATAGTATTCACTTCAGCTAGCAGGAAGAGAGTGAAGCAAGAGCCATTACGTAAACCCAATAGCTTTTCAGTGATTATAGTTTTTTGTTCAAATTATATATTGTTACTGTAGGTGGACTGCAATCCTATCTCTTTAAGAACAGTCTCATGTCAAATTATATCCAAGAAAAAACATGGAAGGACAAGATTTTCATATCCTTCAAATTACAGCTATTCCCTTTTGCAGTCTGAATCCCAGTTCTAAAATAGCCTCATTTCCTACTTTGGGGCCAATGGCAGAAGAAAAATCCTTTAAGAACACATTATACAACATATGCATTCTTATAAATCACAAAAAATCATTGCATGTTTCACGTATCTCTAAAGCAAATGGATCTCCTGAAGTTTTATAAATATTCCAGCCCTTGAGAATTATAAAAATCTTTTTATAAAACTTCAGGAAATCTGTCTTTATTTATATAATACATATTATATAGATATAATACATTTTCATTTATATGTATTTAAATACAGTGCTGATAGGATAAACACTGTGACTTTATCAGCTTCTTTAGGAAGCTACAACATTTGTAAGAAGAAAAATTATATTAGGAAGCTACAACATTTGTAAGAAGAATAATTATATGCACACTTTGATGAAACTGTTGTCATCCAAAGACATTGATGAGACCACTCCAAACATAATAGATCACCAGTTGCTTACACAGAAGATATTCTTAAATCAGTTTTAGAAGAGGTAGCCATGTCAGTCTGGGCTAGCATATCAGGCAAAAATAATAAGTAAGGAAGACAAAACCAACTGCTGTATTTTAGTGTGAGCTTTTTTGGACACGTTTGAGGAAGTGGAATTGTCCATGAAAGCTCATGTTAAAATATAGCAGTTGGTCTTTAAGGTGTCAGAACATTTTTCTCTTTATTTTTATTTTGGCTTTGCCTGATATCCTGGAACCAGTTATTTGAGATGCATCCTAACATAGTTATGGGCTGCCAAACAAATGAACCACAGTTAGGGGAGATTTCTTGGTCAGAATTGACAAAAGCAGACTTTTTCTCTGTGTTTGGAGAGTATTAGAGATTGTGTTGGAAGGGGTAAAAGAGGTTGTTAATTCAGATTGTGTTCTCTCAAGGAAAAAGTACCCACAGCCTGAGAAGGCTTCATTTATTCTCAGTATTATTATAATATAGGCAAATATACCTTAAGCAAATATACCTTGCTACTTGCGTCATCGCGTTAAAATTAGCTCCTCGTAACAACTGAATTGTTTCTGCTAATGGAAGAGAGATGGAGGGAACTATTCTGTCTACTTGCAGGCCGCCTCCCCCACAATTTCATGCACCTTAGTTGGTCTTTAAGGTGTCAGAACATTTTTTTGTCTTTATTTTTATTTTGGCTTTGCCAATACCTGCTCTAGAGAGTTGGAGTAGATTTGGCAGAGACTGTAAGGGGAGGAGAAAACTTCATCCTAAAAGTGTACCTCAGATTGTGCCACAATAAATTGCATCCTAAGTGATCCCTGATTGGCTGGGATCTTTCAAGGAAGTGGGGACACAAAAACAACATCAATTAATAGTAATAAAGAAGTCACAGAATTAAGGCTTGGCTGGGAGGGAGTGGGATTTAATTCTGAGTAAACAGACACAGAATAGAACTGTGAGGGATTTTCCAGAGAATATGTCCAAGCTCTACTCTGCTTCCTGAAATTAAAGAGATGATCCAAAAATATGATGCTAATAATGATTTTTAAAGTACTTTTTCTGCTCTTTGAAAGAAACAAAAAGCAGAGATCAATCTAAACTGGGACATTTCTCCAGTGGATGGCACTTGCAGACAACATTGTGCTTGTATCAAAATGTACTTGCTTCTAGCAGAGTGCTGCTGCCTGTTCTTATGCTAAAAAAGTCTTTACAGACAACAAAACCAGACACTCTAGTTGTATTTCTTGACATAAGCTAGAAAACTGGCAGGGAAAATTCAGCTAGAATTTCCCTCCCAATGATTGCAAAATAGTATTGTTCTCTGAGGCATCAGCCCTATGATTGAAGGCAGTGCAAATTGAAACAGCATGCATTTAATTGTAAATAAATCTTAGGGTTAAGTTGAATCCAACCGAAAATTGGAAGATTCCCCACTCATGCACTAGAGGCTGTCATTAAAACATCTTATGAATACATTTCTCCAGGGACAAAAGGAAGACTATGGAGAGCACCACAATTTTGCTCTTAAATATATGTGTATAAATTAGGAGCAATTCTAGAGCAGTACATAAAACTAGTAAGCATGATCAAATGAGAGCAAACGGAGGATCTGTATCTGTAAATAATCAACGGTTAAATATCAACAACAACAACAACTAACAATCAGGTGTCGGTGACAATAATCTTTCAATACGTTCTACCATTTCTGATGTAGTTATCAATACTTCTGGAGGAATTACTCTGCTACAAGTGGAGAGAAGGAATATTTCATAGAAAAAAATTCCAGCCCTTTTGATTGAGGGCTAAAGTGCATGCTGTGTTAAATATGCATATGAGCCTTTCTTCTTCTTTTAATTTGTAGTAGCAGGTATGAGTCTGATCCAGATCAGAACTACCAGACACAAGTAAAGAAAAATCTGCTCTTCTTTTCTTTCTTTTTTTAAGCTACAGGTGTGCATACATCCTGATGGGGGAGTAAAGATGAAAAATAAGATTTAACTGGCACAATGGAGTCACTGTATTCACTCAGCATTTATGTAACTATATGATTTATTTTCCGAGTAAGACCTGTTTATCTCTTGATCCAAACAACAAAACTGCAAAGCTCACAGTGGTCTATTTGATCAGATGGGTGGGATACAAATCAAATCAAATCAAATCAAATCAAATCAAATCAAATCAATCAATCAATCAATCAATCAATCAATCAATCAATCAATCAATCAATCAATCAATCAATCAATAAATAAATAAATAAATAAAAGTTACTGCCTCATGAAGCTCCTAACTTTGGAAAGTTCATCTATAAATGCATGCCCTCCTCTTTTAAATAAGAATCACAGAGCCTGGATTTACATATTCCAAGGAGTGGATCAGATTTTCCACTCTGCTCCTACTGGGAGGAGCTAATCATAATTGACAGTGTTTGTGACCATCCCTGAAAAATTGCACTGTACACTTTAATTATTTGGATATCATTTATCAGTATTCCTTGTTCTGCTATCTTTACATTTACATTTAGATCTATATTTTATATACCAGACTTGTATGACAGACAGATGCATATGCCTATTGTTAGTATACCTTTTAGTGCTGGAAGTAGGGAAAAGCAGGTATGCTGTGGACCAAGTCTTTTTATAGGGATTATTATTATTATAACTATTATTACTACATTTAACAGTTTCTATATTACATTTGAAATACATCCCTGTCAATATTTCTCAGGATAAGTATTATTTAACCTTATCTTCTTCCAAGGTACAGATCACCTAAAACACTGGTTCTTAACCTTGGGTTACTCGGGAGTTTTGGACTGCAACTCCCAGAAGCCTTCACCCCCAACTGTGCTGACTGGGGTTTCTGGGAGTTGCAGTTCAAAAACATCCAAGTAACAAAGGTTAAGAACCACTGACCTAAAACAATGACATACATGCACACAATGTGGCACACCTTTGACTTTCTTTTACTATGGTTTATTATGGAGAGCGTGGTGGTGCTGCGGGCTAAACTGCAGAAGCCTGTGCTGCAGGGTCAGAAGACCAAGCAGTCGTAAGATCAAATCCACGCAACGGAGTGAGCTCCCGTCACTTTGTCCCAGCTCCCGCCAACCTAGCAGTTCGAAAGCATGCAAATGCAAGTAGATAAATAGGGACCACCTTGGTGGGAAGGTAACAGCATTCCGTATCTAAGTCGCACTGGCCATGTGACCACAGAAGATTGTCTTCGGACAAAACGCTGGCTCTGTGGCTTGGAAACGGGGATGAGCACCGCCCCCTAGAGGTGAACACGACTGGACACAAATTGTCAAGGGGAACGTTTACCTTTTATTATGGAGAGCAACTTCAGCTGATAAATAATGGAGAGAAAAAAGACCAATGTTGAATGGAACAGAAGTGCCTCCCCTTTGTTTCTGCTCAATTTTATTAGTTTCAATAAAGAATATCCAGGCCACTGTAGCCAATTGTGTATATTATAGACTGCCTGCTAAAATTCACATTCCAGTTATTCATAATTGTCAGTGGTGGTTAGGAGCATTCAGATTCCCACCAATTTCTCTTTTCAGTCACTTTTCCGAGCAGCACCTATTAGTATATAAGGAGAAAGAAGACTGCATACATAAATACTCAAAGAAGCATGCTGAATATAACTTTTCCCCCCTCACCTGATTGACTCCTCTGGCATCCTTTGTTGTGTAAGACATCCTCTATTGATGTTCCAAGAACCAGTTGAATATTTTGAATAAGACCCTACAAGCAATACAGAAAAGTCCATCATATGATTTTAAAGTGATGCTACTAGAAGGACACTGGTCTGCCTTTTCTTCCCTGTAATTTTCCTGCATTGACTGAAACTAACACAGAGAATTTACTGAATTATAAATTGTTCCTACAGCCAGTGTTTTCTATTTAATACATTTGGTTCAGGAACAGACAAGGCAGAAGATAATTGATAGGTCTTTTAATAGAACACTGTCAAATATTCCAACTTTCACTTCAGTGAGACATGGAGCCACATCAAATGTTCTCAGTCAAGAATTCCAGCCTATATCCCCCAGATCTAAGATGTAGATTTGCCAGCTTTCATTCATTCTTTCTTTTTTCTGGTAATAATCAAGGACTACGTGGACTGACGATGTTATGCTGCTTTTTCACCAGTATGGGACAGCTTGGCTGGGAAAGTTACACAAGAATTATCAGTGAGAAATAAATTCACCCTCAGGGTAGTTTCCTCTGTTTTTTCATCATGTTGCAACAGGGTTGGAGTAACTCCCGGACTTCTTTGTGTTGTCTGACTCCAGCTCTCACCAGCCCCAAACATCGTGGTCAATAATCTGCAATGATGGAAGCTGCACTCCAACAATAATAGAAGCAAAGAATGGGAAGCTCCTCAAAAAATAACTTTTCTGGACTCTGTCCTGGAGTGTCATAGATTCCTACTCTTGTGCTAGGGTGCTACAAGGGAGATGTGCTTACCCAAAAGCAAAACACACATGTGGCCTGTGCATGTTACTTCAAAATATTGGCATGCTACAACTGGGAGAGAATTGAGCCATCATTTCTCCTTTGTTATTGTATCATCTCCCTATTTATAGCACACAGATGCACATGCGCACAGTTTACAAGTATGACGAATGCTCAAGATAGCTGTACCACAAAAGGCAGAGAGCTTCCAAACTGCATCCTCCAATCTATTTAAAGCCTTGCCAGGCTCTTGTCTAATGGGATTCAAGTATTCAGGAAGCCATTTTTCTTCCCCAGTCTCTGTCTCTGTAGAATATTTTATGGCTTCCAAAAAGAATAGAGAAGAAAATCATTCAAATCTTTCCTGTTGCTGGCTTAAGCACTCTTACATGTTGAAAGCATGCTACATCATGCTTTGCCTACTGCCACACCTCCAACACACCTCTTTGTTTCTCCCTGTGACTAAAGTTCTGATTCTGAAAAGGAAGCCACTGTGGAAACCACAGATTGAAAAAAAATCCATTTTAGGATGAAAACTCTCAGAATTCCCAAGCCAATGCAATTCCTGAGATATATCAGGAATTACAAACAGTAACTTATTTTTTTCCCATATCTAATACAAGCCTTCTCAGTGGCTGGGAGAAGCCAGGAGGCGGACTCCAAGAACATACTTCCTTCTTTTTCAGAACTTTATCTGAAACCTTACAAATTTTTTTCTCTATCCAACAGCCTCAGAGATGTCTGGAACCAAAGAGACATTCAAGACTGCTAGCCTCCTGTACAAACGTCCTTGGCCTTATGCCCCATTGAACAAAACTGGGTTTATTTTTCAGTTGTGTAATTTCAGAACTAAGTTGTAATGGTAATAAATTGTTATTCTTCCCTTGGTGGGCGGGTGTATACTTTTGTACTAAAACAAATCTACCTCAATATTAAGAGGAATATTTGAAATTAGGGCTGATGAAGCACACAGATTCCGACATAGTGCTTCTCTCTCTAAACTTAAGCACATCATTCATTTAGAAGGTTGTATACATACTACCGTGGGCTGATATGAAAGAAGCTGTCCTGTTGCAAAATGTGGCCTCAACCCAATTGCATTTGGTTTTCAATTTACTTACAAGCTCAATTCTGGTTGGTAGTTCTGACTTATGAAATTATGCACTTTGGGTCAGGACAACTGAAAAACCACCTTCTTCCATTCAAGAATGTGTGAAATTTGAGACCTTTAACAGCAGTTCTGTTGCATATCACATCATTTCAAAGGGCTAGGCTGATTAGTACACAATGCAGGACTTTCTTTGTAGCAGCTCTTCAATCATGTAATTCCTCTCAAGGTGTCAGATTTATTTTCTACTATAAATAATTAATAATAAATGCATCAGTAGGCTTCTGAAGAACATACTAGCCCAAGTCCTGGCAGCTGGTGTCACTGTGGGAAGCAAATTGCTACTTTTAGAGGTGACTTGCCTCATGTTAATAAATCACTTTAGACACTATCTATTGTCTACTGAAATGTGCAGTTTGTCACACAACAGATAATGTCTACAGTACTTTTTTGACAAGATGCAGTTCACCTCTAAAAGTTACACCATTCATGTTACAGCAACAGAAAATCACGACAGGAGCTGGACCATTACTTCAGTTTTTTTTAAAAAAACTATCATAGGAAAGCACTGTAGCATGTAGACAATTTTTCCTATGTTGACACAATAATCAAAACCATTCATGTTACAGCAACAGAAAATCACAACAGGAGCTGGGCCATTACTTCATTTTTTTAAAAAAAAAACTATCATAGGACAGCACTGTAGCATGTAGACAATTTTTACCTATGTTGACACAATAATCAAAGTACTGTAGTACTCACAACATACCATACCTGATTATGTGAAAGGATATTCTGGTTATATTAAAGCAGAGGTCTGTGGCCTGTGCCGGTCTGTGGCCTGAGCCGCAAAGACAGACCTCCTGGGGCCCCTGCACATGAGCTGGACCGGGCCGCAAAGACAGACCTTCTGGGGCCCCTGCACGCACTCCCCTCCCCAAAGGTGCTTTGCATACATTCGCACGTGTGCCAGCGCTGGCATGAGCACTACCCCATCCCTTCATGCATGTGCCCGAGTGCCCGTGCAAAGGGGCGGGCAGGGGCGCGGGCAAGCAGGCAGGCGTCCCTTTGCATGTGCAAAGGGATGGGGGAGCACCTATGCCAGTTCTGGCTGATGGGCAGGTGCTCCCCCACCACTTCACACATGCGCCAGAGAGTGCACACGCACACACCTGCAGGGGAGCTCCTCGGAGGCTTAGCTGGTCCGCAGTCCCAAAAAGGTTGGGACTGCCGTATTAAAGGACATGTTAAATCAGACTTATTTGAGTGCCTTTTCTCTTCCTGCAATTTCCCTGATGCATTCCAATGCATGGCCAGCAGCCATTAATGAACTTTGAGCTGCCATACAGTCTTCACCAACAGCATTACTTATCTCAGTAGACTCAACTGCTTGTGTGAAAAACATTTTACTTACACTGGAAACACTGCATGTTGCATTCTGTGGTTAATTCTTTTAGTAGTGTATTTACTAACCACAAGATGTGGTTCAGATCCCAATTCAAAAGTTTTTTAAAACAGCCTAATTTGGACAGACCAATTGGGAGGCTGTTCGATTCAGCTCAATTCAGAATCTTCATGTCGACCATTGACTACCACTGGAAGTCAACAAATGGTGGTACATTTATTTCTGCTTGGTCAGAACTGGATGGAACATTCAAGCACAGTAGAGTCGTATGAGGGGATTAGCCTGATCAAATTGAAGGCACAAAGTGGGATCTCTAGTTAAAACTGCGCAATTTTAGAAGTACTGGTGAAACATGGTTTGTCAGAAGTACAATTAATGTCGAGAAGGGAATATTTTCTCTGTGGGCTTTTGGTAGTTTACAGAAACAGAAGATCCCTAGAAACAGTATCAAAATCTCATGAATATAGGTGTACAAAATTCAGTTAGTATGAATGAAGAATGGTTTAAGACTTGTTTGACCTTTGCTCGATTGGCACAAAAGTTGCAGAAAGAGCAAGGAGACAGACGATGGAAGTGAAACACAGACTTGTAGAGACAGGAGAGTTAGAAGATCGGCCATTTCCCACCCACCATTAAACACTAAAAAAACTGTATGAAGCACTGAAATACTCCTGAAATATGTTAACTTTTGCACCCAAAATACTGGCTATGAAATACCCTAAGAAAGTCATATATTGTAATGAGAAGCTACAGCAGCCATTCACAAAACTAAACCCTCTGTTTTTCCTCTGCCTTCTCCTTACCCTGTTGATTCCCTTAAGTGGAAAATTTAGGGAAGCATTTATTAAGTTTTACGAGCATGCTGACTGGGTCTCTATGACCTCTGAGTCTGAAGGGCTAATTAAGCTTTGAGCTGGGCACCTCCCAGATCACTCAGAATAGCCTGATTTGGGATTCAGTAAGATCAGAACCCCACTTTCACTATCAGCAATTCAAGGTCATATCTCGTTTGGGCTTAAGAATTTATAACTTTAAGAATACTCACTGTAATATAAGTCCAACTGTGTTCAATGGGACTTTGAACCAAGTCAGAATGATTGGGATTTCATAATCTTATTCATCCTTACCTGGAAGTACTAGCTCAGTTAAAAACACATTTGAAAGTAGAGAGGACCAGGATAGTATTCTGTGCCACCTCATAGGCTATACCTCTTGCCAGTTACCTACCCGGAAATGGTTCTCTCTTGTAGATCCTTTTATCACATACATTCTACTTTTCTCCGCTTTCAGGTTTTCATAAAATGGATCCTCCAGGGTTAAGCTGTCTATGAGGTCACAGCCAACATAGAGACTGTAGTTTTCTCCTGTTACTTGTATTGTGATGTTCTTCCATTGTAGGTCAGCTAGGTCCACGTCCTCCAAAGGATATCCCTTCTGGGAGCCATCTACCCAATAGGAAAGCTCAAGTGTATTTTCTCGGCCATTGGAAATGATCTCGAATTGCCGCTGAGAGGCACCAGGACCTTCCAATGCAATGATGGTGCCCCTGGAGTCCCTGTCCTGCCTCCAGGTGGCTGTAAGAATGAAACCCTCATTTTGTTGGATCAGTTTAATGATCTGCTGTAATTTCTCAGAGTTAATCGGAGGTATGTGATCAAACCGGATGAAGCGGTATGCTGGGATACCAGAGATGTTACCCCGAAACAGTTTTGCTCCAATGGTCTTCCTGTTTATGTTGCTGATTTGCAGTAAATCAAAAGCGGTCTCTTCTCCTCTGTCATCATCTGCAAAGCCACCAGCACATAGTAACATGATTAACAAAGAAATATACAGCATGGATTTTGCATCTTCAGTCTCCAGTGTCTTTTTTGCCAAAGCATAGCTTTGGCATTAATTTATATGTATTATCATTTTTCTTGAAAACTGCAATGTAACTAGCATCTTAAATGGATTATTGTACCTTACTGCTTTGAATGTGTTTTGGTGTTTTGGTAAGCTGCCTTAGGATCTTTTTAAGGAGAAAGCCATACTGTAAATATTTAAAATAAAGAAATAAACAACACTGAACCAGTGAATCATATGGAAGTACTCACCAATACAGAATTTACTTAAGCTAAGGAGAATTGCATGTATGTATTTTTCTTTGAAGGACAGGATTATAAAAAAGAAATAATCTCACAGAATCTTAACTGTCTGCAAATAGGACAAAATTGTAGATATATTTGAAACAGTTAAGTGCTGTTTAAGAAGAAAGATCTCTGCAGCAGGAATGAATCTGGCAAACCCTAGTATTATATAGAAACTTGGCACTTGGCCAATTGAGGGACATAAAAAAAAATTTGGTCATTGCCATTCATTTTCTGTTCCTTGATACACTTTTTAAAGGCTGTGTTGTCTATCCAACTAGTTTCATATTTCAGACATTCAAGGAAACAAAGTATTTACACAATTATTATTGAGACCAAGCCAAGTGGGCCTGTGCAAGATTGCAGGCTAATGTCTTTCAGAAATCAGGTTACAGTTTCTGCCTACTTGGAAAAAAAATCTTTGGCTTGAATGATACAGATATTTATTGACCTACCTTGAGCCTCTGATGAAATCCACATAGATAAGCTCACGAACCACAACAGCCAATACTTGTGTAACATAATGCCTACAAACAAACAAAGATGTGTGGATTATTTGCCTATTTTAAACATGTGCCCCATAAACTTACATAACAAACTGTTACATCCCAAGCTAATTATGCTCCTTTGTGGCACGTTCTATTGATTGTTTACTTTAAATATGGCATTTTTTAGAAATCCATTTATTTGCCCCAACTATAGCATTTATTCTTCCTTCTAACCATGTTTCTGTATTTGTGTGTGACAATAATCCATGTGTTATTCTTGGTTCTGGATCTATTGCCATGATATTAATGAGTGTTCACTTGTAATACTGGAGGTTGTAGAAGAGAGGCTGCTCAAGTGTTTAATATCCTTCCTAATAAATTCAAGGAAATATATATGGTATATCCAAAATTGTCTTCAAAAGTTTTCCATGAGACGTCTGGCTGCTCAGACACTGTACTGGTTATTGCATCTCTTAAATCCACTTTTGGCCAGCTATAGAGCTACATTCTTGGAAGATAATGATATTTCCAGCAGGGATTCATATGTAATTTAACTTATATGCTGTGCTACAACAGCAAATCCCAGTTTCTCAGTCTCAGTTGCTCGCTCGCTCGCTCTCTCTCTCTCTCGCTCTCTCTCTCTCTCTGTGTGTGTGTGTGTGTGTGTGAGACACGCAGAGAGATACAAATACCCATTGACAAAGAGGAGCCTGCTTCTTTATACTTCTTGTTACTACAGGATGAGATGATCCATCATCTCCTTCTGAGTCTAAAGCTGCAAAATTATTGATATGTTAGAGCAAGCCTCACTCAACTCAGTGTGGCTTACTTCTGAGTAACCTTGCATAGGAACTGGTTGCAAATTTGCAACAGAGTACAGCTAGTTATTTGCAACAGAGTACAGCTAGTTATATGTTTTTTTGCTGATTTTTAACATAAATTTTATACATTGATAATGTATCACTATCACTGTCTTGATAATGTACATATTTGAGAGGTTTGTATTCATTAAAAATAATCTAAATCCAAGATCCAGGCAAAATCTCACATTTACCTACACAATCCGGAATGTGCTAGCTGATGTAATCTCACTAAACTCAATTAAATTGACTTTGGCATCTATAGTACTGGACAAAAAATCTCTTTCATTGATTGTATCATGTATATTATCTGCTGCATATTTCTAAACACCAGATCAAAACCAATCAATTGTCTATGTGATATTTCCACCAATGACACTGTGATCATTTAGTCATTTTACATGATGTGACTTCCTCGTTTAAAATGTATTGCCAAAAATAAAATTGTGACAATAACCAGATGAAGAGGACTAGGCATTTAGTAGTACTTTAACATCAGTTTGGCCACAACTTACAAGTAACCCAAAGCACTGTTTAGTCCCAGTGCTTACACTACTTGCTGTAAATGCATGCTTAGGTACTCTATTAATAAACAATTAAACATATCTAAGTATGTCTGGACTGTACAGGGTTTATTGTTCCACCACACTGTGATGAGAAGTTTTACCTCCGCAAGCCACTGATTCATCATTAGGAAAGTAGCCAGTGCAAGAAGATTAGTGAATATAAACTCCTGAAAGTCTGTATGAATGATGTAGAAAAAAGGAAAGTCTTCTCCTTACAATGAACGATGGGAGTTTCTGCACCAAACCCATTCTTTCCACAGGAGCTGGTGCAGGAAAAGATCCCTATCTATTGCCCTGAGGTGATGCTGCTGCATCCTGCACCCTGGGTACTCTAGAAAGTTACAGTTTCCTTCCGGACCGAAATCCCATTTCAAGTTGCTGAACACATGAGAACTAATTCCTAACTAGACATACATATGGAGCACTCTTCTAGTTTTGTGGAATAATAATTATGTGCTGCAGAGTTGCATCTGACTTAAGAAGACCCTTGCCAGGATTTTTTAGGTACAGTATAAAGTACTGAGAAGAGGTTTACCAGACCCTTCTTCTGAGGATGGTCTGGGACTGCTCAGCTTTCCCAAGGCTACACAATTTGACTCTTCTCCCAAGAAGCACACTGGGGAATCCAATGCCTGACATACACCAGCTCCTCAAACACCCTTCCTTGCTTACAACCCATTAAGTAAATTCAACTGATCAGACAGGGATTGCTTCTCTTTTAAGCCATCCTTGCAAAGGTCTTCTATGAGAACGAATGTGGAGAAGAATAAGAAAATCTTCTGTTAAGCACAACTCTCCCAGAGGAGCGACTTATTAATGAAAAGAGACGTGGGGATGGATTCTGATTAAGCTTGCAATTCTATACACACACACACGTCTGGGAGCACGTCCAACTGCACGGAGCTTGACAGGTAACTAACTACTGTATATGTTAGTTGCACAGTCGCCCACGGAAATTAAAGGGGCTTAAGTGATCAGCCCCACTCAGAGCTCCGACAAGTTACTTTTCAGCACCCAGATACTGCATCTTCAGACAGGATGGACACTGCGGATTCTGGGAACCGTAGTCCAAAAAAGTAACTTGGCCAAGTTCTGCCACTGATCTCAACGGCTCAGGCTTTCCCCGGTGGAGAACCTCTCTGGGTCTCTGCCTTCCGCACGACCCAGCGTGCTGCTGCACGTGTCTTGGTGTCTCCCTTCCAGAGCTGCTCGCCTGTCAAGCCTTCAGCTTCCAGGCTTTTTCTTCCTCCGCCCTCACGCCACCCTTTACCTGCCGTCAACGTTGCCCGCCGATCCTCTGGGGAAAAATAATTTAAAAAAAGATGACGAGTTTCAATGAAGAAACAAAAAAACGTCCAGCTTCCGCGGAAGTCGAGCGTGGGACCGACCGAGCTCCCTCCACGCCCGGGGTGTGGACGCCCTTCCTCCGCTTCGCTGCCGCCTGGGCTCCCCTTCAAGTGGCTTCCCAGCGGTTCGCGCGCCTGTTTTATATAGGCGCCTTGGCTACGCCGGGGCTGTCAATCAGCCAGCGGAGGAAACGCTCTTGAATCCATTCCTCCGCGGCAATGACATAATACCCAGCGCCGAGCTGACAATTTGCTCGCTCTCTCCCGGCTACCTGGAAGGCCATCCCAAATCCGGCCACAGCCTGGACCGCAAAATGCCTCCTTCTCCCTCCCTCCCTCCTCCCGCCGGGCCCCCACCCGCAGCGCCCGCCACCTCCGACCAGCCTCACGCTCCCCTTCCCTCACCCCCAACCCCAGGGTTTTGGCAGCTCCCGGTTGAGGGGAGGAGAGGAGGAGCCGGGCTGAGGAGAAAGCGAGCCCGTGGCAACCCAGCCATGCTCCCCCCACACCCCGCGGGCCGCACGCGCTCTTTTCGCCGCTCCCTCGCCGCTTGTATAAAACTCCTGGCCCCCTCGGTTCCTGGAAGCCATGTGTCGCGTGGGACACACGGCTGGGGTGGGGCGGCGGAGGGGCTATAACTTTAAAAAAAAAAGTCAGGAACGAAGCAAAGGTGGTAGAGAAAGGGTTTTGCCGCGTACTTGCCACGCAGTTGCATCCAACAGGATAAGAGTTGGCACAGAAAACCAAGACGCTACCCAGCCGCTAAGGCCAGAGGGGGAGGGGGGTCACTTTTTCTGAAGGAAAGATATTATTGGGCTCGAGCGGTTTGGCGGGATGGGAGCGAACAACGTTCAGGAGCAAAAGCTGGCGAAGTTACTTCTGGAATTCCAAAATCCTCACCAAGCCTGCATGACCTGGAGATTCATGGGTTCTTCTCCAGGAACAGCTTTTCCCAAGCCCTGTCAGAGATTAAGAACAAGATGGGGGTGGGGTGGGGGGAACCTCCCCTTTCAGGTAGAAATGACAAATGGGCACACAGGAAAATCGTACTGTACTTCAAAGCTGGCAAGGGGGCAGCCTCTTCTGCTGCACTGACAAGCTACTTGTGTGTGTGAAACAGGCTTCAGGTCTGCCCCTTCATGCTTTACCAGTCCTTCCTCCATCCATCCAGCTGCTGCCAAAGAAAAACTGCCTCAATCTTTACCCAGGACCACCCCAAGACGTTTCATTGCCTGAGGTGGAGCACCAATGGCACCCCTAGCAAGTGAAAGTGTCTTATCTTAGCACCCTTAGGCCCTGTAAGTGATGTTGGCATATGTGGCTAAATTATCTCGGAATCATTTCCAGAACTTTACTCCCAATTGCTTCCTACGAAGGGGTGCCGATAAGTATTGAACCTTTCCCAGAAAAAAAAAATGAGCTAGGAAGCTATAAATTACAGGGTGTATTGGCTAATTTGTCTGTATTCAATGGTGCAGAAATCAACTACCTATGACTTTAACTTATCTTTCATGTTCAGATCCAAAGTGAACATGGCGGCACCTCCAGAAAAGTTCAGTGTGGAAGAACATACAACCATAATCAAGTTCTTTTTTCTCCAAGGGAAAGGTGCAAAGCAGGTCCATGATGAAATGTCACAAACTATGGGTGACACTGGCCCTTCATATGCAACAGTTTAGACGTTGGGTTGTCAGTTTTAAAACTGGCCATTTCAGTGTTGAAAATGAGACACCCATTGGAAGGACTGTTTCTGTCTCTGTGCCTGCAAATGTGAAAGCCATCCATGACATGATCATGGCGGACGGCCGAATATTAGCCCAAAGTATTGCTATATATCTGGCAATATCCCGTGAGAATGTTGGTGCCATTATCCACAACGACTTGGAAATGAGAAAGCTGGCAGCAAAGTGGATCCCCAAACTTTTGACAACCGAACAAAAGAGTAAATGTGTTGAGTCATCAGTGGCTGTATAGGAACATTTTGCAAGAAACGAGTCAGATTTCCTGGGCAAACTGGTAACTGTAGATGAGACATGGATCTACTGCAAACCTGGGCAAAGTGTGGCCTGAGGGCCACATAAAGCCTGCAAGCTGCTCCTGTCCGGCCCACGAACAGTTTTGAACATCAAAACCATTTATAGATTTTTGTCTAAAGATGGTCAGTTGCTTATCTTTAACATACTGCAAAAAACCTCTTTAGTACTTGTGAAGATTAACAAGTTTAAAATTAAAACAATCATAACATCAATGTTTCATTTTATTTTTAAGTAAAGTTGGTTCAGCCCCCGAACACAGTTCAGATTTTTCATGTGGCACCCCCTATAGAAATTAATTGCCCACCCTGATCTACTGTTATGATCCTGAGACAAAGGAACAGTCTAAGGAATGGAGGCACAGTGGTTCCCCCAGGCCAAAGAAGTTCTGAGTGCAAAGGTAGGTGGAGAAGCAAATGACAACATTTTGGGGGGATAAGAAGGGAGTTCTGCTGGTGGACTACCTCCAACAGGGTTCAACCATCAATTCAAAATATTACTGTGCTTTATTGACAAAGTAGAGGCAAAATATCAAGGAAAAACACCAAGGAAAGCTCTCCAAAGGTGTCATCCTATTGCATGACAACACCTTGCCACACACTGCAGGTGAAACAATGACAAAACTGACCTCCATAGGCTTTCAAGTGATGCCCCATCCACCCTATTCTCCCAACCTGGCTCCTTCTGACTATTATCTGTTCCCCAAACTAAAAAAAAAAAAAAACACCTAAAGGGACAACGATTTGGGAGTGTTCTGGAGGCAACTAATGCTGCAAATGAGTGGTTACACCAGCAGTCGGAAGAAATTTATTTCCAGGGACTTAAGAAGCTGCAGGACAGATGTTGCAAGTACATTGACTTCCTGGGGAAATATGTAGAATAGTGTGGCAGCTACAGCTTCCTAGCTCAATTTTTTCTGGGAAAGGCTCAATACGTAGCAGCACCCCCTCACAGTAGTGAAATCACAAGTGTAATAAACCAAATAACTAACCATTAACTGGCCTTTATGACAACTTAAACCTGCTACCTAGAGCTCTGCCCATGGTGGGGATCACAAGTGTAATAAACCAAATAACTAACAATTAACTGGCCTTTATGACAACTAAAACCTACCTAGAGCTCTGCCCATGGTGGGAATGGACACTTTGGTCAAGTTCTCAGTAACAAACAACATTCCCACATTCAAAACATAGCAAAATTGCCAACCACAGCCAGGAGAGGATGCAAGAGTTTTTGAGTCTATTTCTTTTTTCAAAAATAAAAAATAGGGTGTGTAGAGATGCTATTCGGTGATGATTCATCACAGAAGAGGGCATTCCTTAACTTGCTGAAAGAGTCTGAGTTCACAGCAGGAGCTGTTGTCACTTCATGTAATTTGCAAATTAGCTTCTTTTGTTCTATGATTGATCTTCAGATCTTAGATGCATTCTTTTGAAGTGTGATTTCTCAAATATGAATAACCACAACTTTATAGATCACTGCCACCACAGCCTTGGGACAGCATAGGGCAATGGTCCTGGCAATGGACCCAAAGATTAGGCAATGTGTGTTGACTGACAAACCTCCTACAACCCTGAAAACTGAAGAAAACACCTGATGACCTCTTGCATAAGTGGCAGAAAAAGAGGAATCACAGACAAGAATGGACCATTCTGTGTGTGGTTCAGATTCTGGCCTTTGTTTTCAAGGTTTCAAGATGTTAGAAAACAATGTTTATTTCTTTTAAAAAGGCTGACACATTTTAGCCTATCAATATTCAAAATCTTTTTCAATGGGCTATTAAAATGCATAACAGACAAACATGAATGCATTTATATAAATATGACAAAGTATATGCAAATTCAATGAACTACAGTAAACAGCTGATTCCTAATATATTAAGATACACGTTTATCTCTTCCAGACAGCAGAAAAATCATAGTCTTCCATTCCCTTTTATTTGTTACGAGTGAGTTGGTTGGGAGACTTCAAGCAGGAATGTCTGCAAATTGTTTCATTTAATATAAAGAAACACTGCTGTCAGAGCTGGACATTTGTGTTGTCCTGTCTGAGTGAGGTTATGGTTGCTAGGACCCTAGGCTTGCCTATTGCCAAGATTCAGCCTAGAGCTCCTCAGGGGAGGGCTTACAAAAGTCCAGTTATGGGCAGTTGCCCATGATGGAGGATTGCGTAACAGTAGGGCGAAAGACAGCTACATCTCTGTCAAAATGGCTTTTCCATCTTCAAACTGCATTGCTACAAAGCAGTGCAATGGTTAAAAAGGTCTACCATCTAAAGATGGTACAATTAATTAATGCATCTTTAAAACCAAATATTGGCCAGATGCACAGCACAATAGGCATTTTATTATGAAAGAGAACTTTCAAGTGTCTTGGTTTCATGGTCTTGGGGATAAGGCCCTGATAATAGACCCACATCCTCTTTTCTTAATACAGGAGATAGGCAGGCTGGGCATGCATTATGGGGCAAAAGAGTAAGTACACAGGCTGGTAGTCTATAATGTTCCAAAATAGGATCAGCTTTCAGGTTTTAACTCTGAGGATGGTGTCAGTCTTCTTGTTGTTATATTGTTTCGATTCATGGTTTTATGTCTTACTTCAGATTTGAATTTTAAGCCATACAGAGAACTTTATGTTATGTTATTTACTTACATTTCATGAGGAAATAAATAAACAAGCAAGTAAAATCAGAAATCCAAAAGTATTTCACTGGAAGCCTATTAGAAACTTTGTCTAGAATGGTTAAAACATGCATACACAGAGATACCATCTTGGAAATTTGATGTGTTTAAAAACAAAACAAACTCTCGCATGTGAAAAGCAAATTCAAATCAAAGTATATTCTAGATCACATAAAATAAAGTCTTTCTTGACATGAACAATCCGTGGTTGCTAATTGTCTCCAACTAAACAATGGCCAAATCAAAGTCTAAAATGATATTGTATTGAAATAGAGATGGGCATGAACCATGCTTCAGCAGTTCAGCCCAGTTTGGTGATACACGTGCACAGATGTTGCACAGGTGCTATGTGCTTCCTTTCCCCGCCTTCTCCATGCATGCTTGCACAGGTGCTATGTGCTTCCTTTCCCCACCTTCTCCATGCACTCACCCACTCACCGGCTGC